ATCAGTAAAGGAAAATTTATTTAAATGGAAAAAAATGAAAGAAAACAACATTGACAAATGGAAGGAAAAGGAATACCCAGAAATGACAAGTGAACACTTGTTTCATCATAAGTTTCACACAGAGTCGCTGTATTGGAAGTCATGAATGATATTAATGCAATAAAAGGGTAAATAAATATCACCAATTTTCACCTGTATAGTTTAGTTTGTAGGCTGGCTACACACAGTCTAGGTAAGTCCAGCTATTTAAGGGTTAGGATTAGTAACTACACAGCAATGATTGGTCAATTACAGTCCTCTCATTCACCTTTTTCAACATCTTAGTAGGGGAGGATGGAAGAACATATTGTCGAGTGATAATCCCTCAATCGACCAATTATAACTCCACTGACCCATTATACTTAGCTATTAACTAAACAACAAACCCGGAGATGAAGCACTCTCTAGGTCGTGTTCGACCCTTGAGGCTGATCAGTTCTTTAATCTCTGTTTGATTTCACACACCACAGGTGATTGGCTAAAAAGATTGATCAATGATTTAATCTTGTTACGACCCACCAAAGGACTGTCCGTCCAGAAAGTTTGACCATGTTGTCAGTGACCATGCTATGTGGGCTTATCAAAAAGTGATTATGGATAGACAGAGGTACCCTTTAATACTAGTGGTTACTTTTAATACTGAAAATGTGTATGTCCCTGAACAAATATAGTAAAATCTAGTAAAACACAACTTATTCCGAGCTTGCATGTGTCCTTGTTTACAGTGCTATAGGTGAAGTACCATGTTTATTTATCTCCCTGATCGAGGAGATTTCCGGCCCTTTGTATATGGATTAGTAATACCCGTTACAGGCCAGGCATGGCACCACCCCTGTATAAAGTCAGCTTCCTGTCAAGTCACGCAATCGTCACGCTGATTGTCCGAGCTCATTTTGATTCTCGTTACGTGAAGAAATCCATCTGTTTGGGCCATTCAGCTCTGTACTGACTGGGTCAGAAACTGTCATTGTAAATCTCTACACTCCTATACAAAGAGATCAGAAGTAGGCCAGCAAAGTATATAGCTTTACACTTTTTTGACAAGTTATTGGATTTTGAAGAATGTTGACTTTTTTCCAGGGTTAATCAGGGGGAACAGTTAAGCAATGCTATCAAAAGCTAGGTTGCCATGGAAATAAATTACATCAATGGCTATGATCCTAAGCAAAATTGCATGTTTCTATGAAACAAATTGGCTTAAGTTTGAAAAATAGGTATGAAACAAGTCATTATTTGATCAGTCAGGATAATTTTTTAATGAATGAATATTATTGCATGTTACTGCATCATTCTTATTAAACGTTATTTCTGACAAAAACATTGTCTCAACAGTTGTTTATGAATGAAATTCTTGGTATTTGTTAAAATAAAAACTGATGAAACCCTTTCATTATAAACACGCCCTACGGTCAGACATACCACAGAAGATTGAGTTGAAGAATTACAGTAGGAATGTTATTTGCCTCAAACTCCAGCTTCACATTGTGATGTTCCTTCTCTTATCACTCGTGGATCAGCTCTCAAAGCCAGGCTGAAAGCTCTATCATTGATGTGCATGACAGATATAAAGCTGTATCATTGATGTGCATGGCAGATTTAAAGCTGTATCATTGATGTGCATGACAGATTTAAAGCATATATTTAATTGTATACTAGGCTCTCAGATACCACCCACAGTAGCAAGACACATCTTACTGGTGTATCCTAAAATTATTTTAATGCAATTGTCTTTTTTATAAAACTACCTTATTCTCAATGCATTTTAATCACTACTTAAGGATATATGCCGCCTTTCAGTGATATGAATCTCCTGCACATAAGAGTTCCACTCAACAAAACCTGAAACATTTCTTTTATAAATGTGACTTGAATAATTGATGACACTTTTGAAGAGTCGACAAGAATGCATACATTGTATTTCTGAACATGGAGATAATAGCAGTGAACAAGTTTTATGGGAGATAAGTCACAGATATTTTGTGATTAGGTGGTATACATCCTTAAGTCACATCGCACTGAGATATAATAATTGAACTATTGAAGTTGCACATCCTTCATGTCCTGACTGACATGTCATCAAGTAACCTTACTACTGTTGATGGCATTGAGACTGGCACTTTTAGAGCAATTTTCTGAAATATGGGAAACATATAGGAAGCAGAATGACATGGGAAACTTATGGGAAATATATGGGAAGATATGTGTAAGGTGTAGGCATTTATGTTTCATTCATTTGGCAAATTAAATGTATATTGTTATGTTAATGAGAAAAGTTGATTACAGACAAGATGTCCACTAGGTGTAAACCTCGGCTGTAATATCACAGGTAAGTTTTCACCTATCTCTGGCTGACAGTTAGAACCTGGTTAAGTTTGAGGTACATGTTTTATTATATAATGAATTTTTCACTTTTGTGACTTCTGCTAGTTATGTTTATATAACTTATATATAGTTTAATGATTTAAATGTTTTACTGAATTTGTAATAAAATTTATACTTAAATGCTGTCATTGATTTTTTTTCATCCAGTTGCTGATTCCATTTATAATTTATCTTTTTTAATCAAAGCATATGTAAATTCTGATATATATGATTAATAGCCTAGATAGGATAAATTTATGCTAAAATTACCTAGAATGTGAATTAAGTGTTGAAATATCTGTTTAATTCTGCAACTCATATTGTGTTGTGTCATATTGTGTTGTGTATGTTGTGTTGTGTATGTAGTGTTGTGTATGTAGTGTTGTGTTGTGTATGTCATGTTGTGTATGTCATATTGTGCATGTCATGTTGTGTATGTCATGTTGTGTATGTAGTGGCATATGTTGTGTTGTGTATTTAGTGTAATATGTTGTGTTGTGTATGTAGTGGCATATGTTGTGTTGTGTATGTCGTGTTGTGTATGTCATGTCATGTTGTGTATGTCATGTTGTGCATGTAGTGTCATGTTGTGTATGTCGTGTCTTGTATGTAGTGTCTTGTTGTGTATGTCATGTTGTGTATGTAGTGTAATATGTTGTGTTGTATATGTAGTATCATATGTGGTGTTGTGTATGTAGTGTCATATGTTGTGTATGTTGTGTTGTGTTGTGTATGTTGTGTATGTCATGTTGTGTTGTGTATGTCATGTTGTGTATGTCGAGTTGTATTGTGTATGTCGAGTTGTGTTGTGTATATCGAGTTGTGTTGTATATGTCATGTTGTGTTGTGTATGTTGTGTTGTGTTGTGTATGTCATGTTGTATTGTACATGTCATGTTGTGTTGTTTATGTCGAGTTGTGTTGTGTATGTAGTGTCATGTTGTGTTGTACACTACATGTGTCGTGATGTCTATGGGATTAAAGGTCTTTACTAGACAAGAATATAAGGGAACAATTCTGCCGATTCGGAGGATACAGGAGACAACCAATGACAGAAAGAGTTGCTTACATGCCATTATCATTGTTGTATACATATAATTTGAATAGATCTAGAATAGTTGTTGAGTTCTCAGTTTGTTAATTGGAGCATATGATGTCTGCATATACAAAGATAACTACGATCACCAATATGTGACGCTCACAATCTGCAGTACAGCATCCCTAAACATGGCAGGAGTAAAGCACTGTACAAACTGAGGTTATACAGATAGTGTCTTTTGGCATGTTTAGTTGTGGTTAGAGAAGTAAGGTCTGGCTGTTTTCCAGGGCGTGCAGTGGTCACCGACCTATATATATACCTGGCTTTACAAACAGGAACCTTACAATACCCAGGGTGTTGGCTCGGTGTTCTATAACCTTGTACTCATCCTGGCTCCGATACAGAACTCGGCCAAGCGTGCTGTTATACAGGACCTGTACACATGAGCGACCTTTTACTTACACTACAGTTGTTTCTATCAGCAGTAATCATACACCGAAAAGGTTCACTAAAGAATGATTATAAGCTAAATACATTTACTTTCAGCATTAACACATACCATAAACAGAAAAAATCTTTTTAATTTCGGACTTGTTGAGGCCTCATTTGAAAAATCTACACCTGTAAGATGTATCTCATATTTATCTTGCATGATAAAGTAGGTAGAGTCACTTCAATTCTTTCGAAATTATTAAAATGTAAGAAAAGCTATTACATAAAATGTTCTTACTATAACTTGATGTACTATACTAGAACATTTCAGTACACTGTGGAATGGGCATGATAACATTAATTATGGCTGGTAAGCTTTGAAATAACAAGAAAGTTTTACAACACCTTTCACATTCCAACAAATTCTAAAATGGAGCAGAAACTATACATTAGTGCAGCTTAACACTTGTGATGGATCTCGACAGAAATGTGACTTACAATTACACACCTGCCCTATCTTAGGGAGGGGGATCAAAACTGTGCCCCTCCCACACCAAACCTGAGGGTCGTACATCTGGTAGAGATAGGCGACACCCCTGGTCCCCACCCACTATCTATACTGACCAGATAATGTCGGTCTATACCTAGCTGGTCGTTGTGTAACATTGTATCCAGTTTCACCGCTCCACCCATATGTCGGGATAATCAGCATTTTTTTGCCTGTTTTTTATTCAATGAAAATTTTTCTTTGTAGACTTTTCAAAGAGCAAGCATGCTCATTATATGATAGGGCTATCGGTAGTGGACGTGTCTGTGATAATCTACTAGGGTGATTATAATGTGTCAGATGTCAGGCTGATTCTGACAAGGAGATAGGCTGACACCTGGGTAAAGCATCGTTTGTATAAATTAACTTGTTACTGTTTTTACACAATTCTATTGTATGTTTTGTGTATGTTTTTTGTTTGTGTGTGTTCTGTGTTGGGTGTATATTATTAGTGGTATAAATATAGAAATTATTGGGCAACTAAATGTTTCGATGCTTTCTGTTGTATGTCTACATTGCAGGTCATGTGAAACTATTATATATTGTTGAATGGTTGGTTGATTTGTTTTTATGATTGTTGTAGGGCGAGGGTCAGAAGGAGAGAGGAATATACATCAAATCTGTGGTGCAAGGGGGCGCTGCTGCTCTTGTAAGTATCTGTGGTGCAAGGGGGCGCTGCTGCTCTCGTAAGTATCGGTGGTGCAAGGGGGCGCTGCTGCTCTCGTAAGTATCGGTGGTGCAAGGGGGCGCTGCTGCTCTCGTAAGTATCTGTGGCGCAAGGGGGCGCTGCTGCTCTCGTAAGTATCTGTGGTGCAAGGGGGCGCTGCTGCTCTCGTAAGTATCTGTGGAAACCACGCTTTTGAGAAAATATATCATAATAGATGTCTAACTTAATAATTAGAGATGGATCCAAGTAGTACAGCAGTAGACTTGTACAGTAACGGGGCACACACAGTTACGTTGATTCTCACTCGTGTTGTTAGATTGATTTTAACGTTAACAATCAGAGGACTATTGTTAATTCATACTGCGTAAATGTTATTATGTTTTAATATTTCCATTTAGTACATAAGTCACTTAACGCTGTTAAACATAAATCAGAGTATGTAGGTAAGTGTAATGATTACTGAAATACGATATCCGTAAATATGACCAGGCTAACACAATGGGCCTCTTCAACAGTTCCTGTTGATATTGACACACGCCAATCAATTATCAAACAGAGGCTTCTGATTTCATTCTACAGAATCTAAGTTACATATCACAAATATCGAATATTCCAGGTTGAGGTTTTCCTCTTATGATATGTATTATAACTGTTAAGTTAAGTGTATAATAAGGTAATGGTGTCAGAAATACTGATTAGCTTGGATGGACGAAGGTGTTATGGTCACCTGGTTCCTTGACCAGCCAATGCAAGGGAGTAATTGTGGGTTATTTGTAGAGTCACAGTCAGGTGGGCGAGATGACCAGATAAGGGATCAGTAATGACATGTCTAGTCGTGGGTAATCACACGCAGCCTGATTGCAGGGTAGATAACTCCTGTCTGGTTCCGCTGTGTTATTACCAGGTCTAGAGCCTCTATTAGGTAGAGTGCACAGACCACAGAACAAATTAGCATTCTGTTGTACAGACAGATTACATCATAGCTATAATGGACACTAATCCATAGACACAGTGCACTTTTGTTATGAAAGATAATATAACATGTTTTCTATGTGATAACTAAATATGTTTGTCTCTGTGAAGTACTATTAGTACTCTGATTCATTGATCAGCTTGGGCCATGATGCCAAATACCTTTTCTGTTAGTGATTGTAATAGTCTTATTTGTTTTAATTCAATAATTTCAATAAAACTGCAAAATTTTACGAAGAAACCTGACTTAAACATATTTTACAATAAAACTGGAAAGTTTGAAATTATTTATTACATTACAAACTGGAAAGTTACAAATAAATCCTTGGCTGTATAAAATAAAACTGAATATTCTAGATTGCAAATTTTTGTGCTCGATACTTTATGTGAACTGTATGATGAATGATGTTATTTTACATCTGTTAGTGGTTAGAGATTTATAAATAACCGTTATTTACCAGACAGTAACAATAGCACAGGTAACAAAATAAAAACCAATTTGGCCATCACATGATAATGTAGGTATGTAAGAAGGTACAGGGTGTTCCCACGCCAGACTAGGACCATACGACCAGCATCACACTGTAAAACACCAATAAAACAATCTACATAGCGCTTACTTCTCACCATCCAATCCCCTAATACCCATGTCATTGGGATTTCACGCTGCTCAACCATTTTTTGGATCAGTGGGTGCCAAGTGGTATACAAAGTTATAGCCATGTGTGTGTGGTTTCTACTCCATACATCTGGTCACTACTTTACATCAAGGCTGGCAATTATTGTAATCAAACACACCAGTAATTCCTGGCTTTTGACCAAGAAGTGGGTAAAATATCGACTAATTTAAGGGTTATTTCAGGTGACCTTTACACTGTAGCTGTTGACATTTCATCGTTTTATAATCGGTAAGCAAACTAGAACACAATGTTTGGTGACCTCCAAGATATGACAGTCTTGATTGGTTAACATATATCTCACTGATATTGTTTACCGTATTACTTTGGTTAACATATATCTCACTGATATTGTTTACCGTATTACTAAGGTTAACATACATCTCACTGATATTGTTTACCGTATTACTAAGGTTAACATACATCTCACTGATATTGTTTACCGTATTACTCAGGTTAACATATAGCCCACTGATATTGTTTCCCTTATTGCTTGGGTTAACATATATCTCACTGATATTGTTTACCGTATTACTCAGGTTAACATACATCTCACTGATATTATTTACCTAATTACTCAGGTTAACATATATCTCCCTGATATTGTTTACCGTATTACTCAGGTTAACATACATCTCACTGATATTATTTACCTAATTACTCAGGTTAACATATATCTCACTGATATTGTTTACCGTATTACTAAGGTTAACATACATCTCACTGATATTGTTTACCGTATTACTAAGGTTAACATACATCTCACTGATATTGTTTACCGTATTACTCAGGTTATCATATATCTCACTGATATTGTTTACCGTATTACTCAGGTTAACATATATCTCACTGATATTGGTTACCGTATTACTCAGGTTAACATACATCTCACTGATGTTGTTTACCTAATTACTCAGGTTAACATATATCTCACTGATATTGTTTACCGTATTACTTTGATATTCATATCAGCAGTGTAGTTTGGTAATATCTCTGGCATGAAATTGAAAAAATATTTCAATACTATAATAATTTGATATAATTTGATGTCAGCAAAAGCATTGAACAGTCATTTTTACAGCAGAATGCCTAGGTTGGACTCACCCAATGTAAAACAATATAGCCTCACACAGTCATTTTTACAGCAGAATGCCGAGGTTGGGGAGCTCTTAGACTCACCCAATGTACAACAATATAGGCTCACACAGTCATTTTTACAGCAGAATGCCGAGATTGGGGAGATCTTAGACTCACCCAATGTACAACAATATAGGCTCACACAGTCATTTTTACAGCAGAATGCCGAGGTTGAGGAGCTCTTAGACTCCCCCACTGTACAACAATATAGCCTCACACAGTCATTTTTACAGCAGAATGCCGAGATTGGGGAGCCCTTAAGACTCACCCAATGTACAACAACAATATAGCCTCACACGGTCATTTTTACAGCAGAATGCCGAGATTGGGGAGCTCTTAGACTCACCCAATGTACAACAATATAGGCTCACACAGTCATTTTTACAGCAGAATGCCGAGTTTGGACTTTGACTCACCCAATGTTCAACAATATAGCCTCACACAGTCATTTTTACAGCAGAATGCCGAGTTTGGACTTTGACTCACCCAATGTTCAACAATATAGCCTCACACAGTCATTTTTACAGCAGAATGCCGAGATTGGGGAGCCCTTAAGACTCACCCAATGTACAACAATATAGTCTCACACAGTCATTTTTACAGCAGAATGCCGAGATTGGGGAGCTCTTAGACTCACCCAATGTAAAACAATATAGCCTCACACAGTCATTTTTACAGCAGAATGCCGAGATTGGGGAGCCCTTAAGACTCACCCAATGTACAACAATATAGTCTCACACAGTCATTTTTACAGCAGAATGCCGCGTTTGGACTTTGACTCACCCAATGTTCAACATTATAGCCTCACACAGTCATTTTTACAGCAGAATGCCGAGGTTGGTGAGCTCTTAGACTCAATCACTGTACAACAATATAGCCACACACGGTCATTTTTACAGCAGAATGCCGAGGTTGGGGAGCTCTTAGACTCAATCACTGTACAACAATATAGCCTCACACGGTCATTTTTACAGCAGAATGCCGAGGTTGGGGAGCTCTTAGACTCACCCAATGTACAACAATATAGCCTCACACAGTCATTGAAATCATGACAATTTTATAGATAGGTAAACAAGTTCATGTCTTTATGGGTAGAATAGAGTCTAGACATTTCTATGGTGTCTTAAAAAAAAAGAATTTTACAACATAAAGGAAAGTTGAAGACATTTTGGCCATGCCTGAATACTCTCTGATGTAATTTTCTGTCATAAATATAAAAAGAAAAGAAGAAAAAAAAGGAATCATTTTTAAAACCTGTGTGAGGTATCTATCTTTGTAGATTGTATACAGGTCACTGAACAAGTTATGTCCCTTGTTATTTATTGTGGCTCTTTGTTTTTCAGGACAAACGTCTACAAGCAGGTGACCAGCTGCTGGAGGTGGATGGCAAGAGTCTAATAGGGCTCACACAGGAAAAGTAAGTATGATAGGGCTCACACAGGAAAAGTAAATCTGATATGGCTCACACAGGAAAAGTAAGTCTGAAAGGGCTCACACAGGAAAAGTAAATCTGATAGGGCTCGCACAGGAAAAGTAAGTCTGATAGGGCTCACACAAGGAAAGTTAATCTGATAGGGCTCACACAGGGAAAATAAGTCTGATAGGGCTTACACAGGAAAAGTAAATCTAATAGGGCTCGCATAGGAAAAGTAAATCTGATAGGGCTCACACAGGAAATCAAATCTGATAGGTCTCACACAGCAAGTGAGCCCTAACAGATTCACACAGGAAAAGTAAGTCTGATAGCGCTCAAACAGGAAAAGTAAGTCTGATAGGGCTCACACAGGAAAAGTAAGTATGATAGGGCTCACACAGGAAAAGTAAATCTGATAGGGCTCGCACAGGAAAAGTAAGTCTGATAGGGCTCACAGAGGAAAAGTGAATCTGATAGGGCTCACACAGGAAAAGTAAGTCTGATAGCGCTCAAACAGGAAAAGTAAGTATGATAGGGCTCAAACAGGAAAAGTAAGTCTGATAGGGCTCACACAGGAAAAGTAAGTCTGATAGGGCTCACAGAGGAAAAGTGAATCTGATAGGGCTCACACAGGAAAAGTAAGTCTGATAGGGCTCACACAGGGAACGTTAGTCTGATAGGACTCACACAGGGAAAATAAATCTGATAGGGCTCACACAGGAAAAGTAAATCTGATAGGGCTCACACAGGAAAAGTAAGTCTGATAGGGCTCACACAGGAAAAGTAAATCTGATAGGGCTCACAGAGGAAAAGTGAATCTGATAGGGCTCACAAAGGAAAATTAAGTATGATAGGGCTCACACAGGAAAAGTAAATCTAATAGGGCTCGCACAGAAAAAGTAAGTCTGATAGGGCTCACAGAGGAGTGAATCTGATAGGGCTCACAGAGGAAAGTAGGTCAATCCACTATAATTCTAAACTTATAAATAATTCCCAATAAAGTATTCAATATCCACAGATGGTGTAATATAAAACGCATAAAATTGAAATTCTAGTATAAGGTATTATTAGGTAAAAAAATAATATTTATAGAACGAACTCAAAGGAAAGTGTTTCTCCAAATCCAATTTTTTTTTTTAGTTGAATTAAGTATACAAAAGTGCACAACATTTACCTTTTTGTAGAATTGCTGAATGATCCCTTCAAATGTTATGAATATTTTGATGGGATTAAGGTGAACTTTATCGTGACTTCTCTATAGGTAGATTAAATACGAGCTGTTTACAGATTACGTGAACTATAAAGTTTGTCAGTGACATCAATGCAGAGGAAGTGTTTTATAGACAGAATTGATAATAAATGGGGGTGTTGAGTTTGGCTGGGACTCCTTGTGGTTCAGGTGTAATCCTATGTACAGCACTGTTTGAAATGCTTTTTGTGGCTAACTACTGTGATGCAATGTGTAGGATATGACACACCCCTTAGCTATGCCCTGTACATATCAGTAAGGCTGTACCTGTGTCGGACGTACCTGTGTCTTACCTACCTTACTAGTCGTTAGGACAGTGCACCTGCTCGTGTACCTGCATGTGTAGCTCTTGTTCATCAAAGATGCATTCAAGTTCAAAAGACAAACTTTTATGACTTGATTGTGCATTCCATTGACTAAATCACACTGGGTTTAGATTTATCTATGCTTCTCTTACCAATCAACAGACTTCAGGTTATAGTTTAAATGGTGATGATTCCAAAGTTCTGGTTTCTGATTTTTTCAGAGCTGCTGAGTTGATGACCAGGACTGGTCAGACTGTATCCCTCAAAGTTGCCAAGCAAGGAGCATTCTACCATGGACTTGCAAACCTCCTCAGCCAGCCCTCACCTGTGATGCAGAGAGGTGAGTCACCATAGTAACAAAACTTTTACCCGCCATCTGCAAAATAACTGTTACCCTGCAGAATTTAACAATTTAATAGTTCTTGTAATAAAACTTGAGAAAACATTTTCATTCATATATACATGATTTTAGTTTTGTTTCATGTTTTGATCTTCAAACTGTCGCACGATGGTGAAATTTATATGTAACAATGCTGCAGAGAGAACATGTCAGTATTTGCGAGTGCTTCATTTTACATGGATTTTTATTGGAATGTAAACTAAAAACATATTCTACAGAACCAATACATCTTGTCTTAGAGTTGTCGAAATGTTTACCAGTATAAGTTACCATTAATCATTGTACAATGTATAAGCTCACTGCCTTACTCTGATGGTTGTGTTCTAAGGCATCGGAATTAAATCTAGGTAATAAAGGTTTATAGTGAATGCATTGTGTTTGTATCGTTAGACATTTTATATATCAGGATTTATAAATACTTAGTCTTGTACAAAGGAAACAGCTTTTAATCTAAATAAAAATAAAGTCAGAGGAAAATTAGTCATGATTGTAACAAGGACACCTGTTACCTGTGTTCACCTGTCTGCTTAATTAAAAATTGATGACATATGTTGGTGTCTGGTTATAAAATTGATCTGGGAACTTGCTGAGGTAGTGTGGTATATACTGATCTAGACAAGAATAAGTACAGCTATGCAAATTTTATATGGGAATATTTAGGCTTTTTGTCTTGGACTGATATCTGCTGTTGAAAATAGAATAGTCTTGTATCTCGACAACCAAGGATGATGGTGACTGAAACTTCTTAAAACTATAATTCACCTCTATCAGATGTTGGTTTGCTGGTTGTACTTTTATTTAACTAAATATTGTGTTACAAGTGATTGTTTTGATTACAAACCTGGTATATTTTCAATTTCCTTCCTGTACTTCCACAATCACATTGAGCTGTAGTATATCAATAGAGGCAAAACCTTATGTCCTCAGCTTAATTTGAAGTCCTATTCTCAGGTACAAATTGCAAATCTTGTGTGAAGAAACCTTTGTAACATTGTTTTACTTCTGTCTTCAGCTGCCTCACCGAAGAAGTCTTCACGTCCACAGGAAGAGGGCCCACCCCCGTACAACGGTAGTGGCGATATGGAAAGGGGGCGCCACCATCCTGGGCACCGCGACCAGCGCCAGGCGATGAACACCTCGCACAGTCGCTCTTCACCCTCATTGAACAGTATGTATCGTGCCGCAAGGGCCACTCATGGAGGGGTACAGGCAGGGTGGGGGGTGGATAAGGAGGAGGGTGGGGGATGGGGAGTGGATACAGTTTTAGGTAAAGTATACTTGTAGGGAGCCTTTATACGACAGTGACAAAAAATTAGTCTCATTTGTTTTTTTATCATTCATACATTTATTTTGGCTTATGATCAAAAGAAGATAATGGCATTGAAATATGTCAGTTGATTACGTGCACTTATGTTACACTGTCCATGTAAGGCTATCCTGCAGAATACTTCCACTGATATGATAGATATTGTTGTTTACAAACATACATGTGAATTTGAATTTGGTTTGAATTCAAAACAGAATACAGGACGGGAGTGTCTCACAAAGACATGGAAAATATTTATGGAAGAAGTGCCCTCTGGAGGTCAATTCTAGAAGCTGATCTCCGTGAAGTGAAGGCAAAAGCATCAGAGAAAAAGTTAGAAGAGTTGAAAGAAAATTCCAATTCGCGGAATATGAAAGTTTTATCTCTTGCCCGTAGAACAATCACGAGTCAGAGGTCACAGTGGGATGAATATGTTAATGCCGGAAGGTCACAAATGTTGAATAATAATAACGTTAATGGTCAAAGGACACACAAAAATAACTATGTAAACGGTGTACAATCTGAACCCAGTCCTAACAGAAATAGACAGGATCTACAGTCAGACGATTATTATAACGGTTATGCCGACGATGAGATGGAAGAGAAGAAAAAAGATCTAAGGGTTGTACAGAAGGAGTTGAAAAAGTACATGAGTCAGGGATTTCGGCCAAGTGGTGTAAGGACACGTATTCGCAGTAAATCAATCGGTGACCTTACTGACCTTAGCAGGTCAGAGAGACGGAAACACGAAAACTCTGTTCTGGATAAGAATAAAAACAAAGAAAGTGCGAACAATGAGGAACAGCGGTCTCAGGACTTACTACGGAGTAAGACTGCTCAGATGTTGTCCAAGCCTCAGAGGGCACGACCAGTCGAACATGTGCGCCATGTGAATGGACATAACACTGATGTCAGTTACAATAACTCTGTAAACAAAAGGGCACACCGGCGTGCCCCTCCTCCACGGCCGCGAAGTGTAGGGTCAATCTCGGGCTTAATTCGTGACCCAAATAACAACCAAGTTAAAAATGATGAGTATACACGGTTCAAGAATTCCATAATGATCATGAACTCCTCGTCCATTCCTTCCTTGGACAATGGCTCTAGTTCAGTTCTCTCATCGTCATTAAGTTACGGCAGTGCTGTGTTTAGTGGACAACCATACGATCAGAACACGTCTCGCAGCTCTTCGTTGGGGTATGGAAGTGATCCTAATCGCCATGGTTGCGACAAGGGAAGCTACTCTCGTCACTCCCTGGCAACGCCTCAGTCTCATTATCATGATCAGTACTCGGATCATAAACCGAGGCATTACTCAGACTCCTCCAACAGCCGAGGTCAGTCTGGGGCTCTGACTTCTAGTCATACCGTAAACGGGTCGGTCAGTAGCTCTAATGCCTCACTAAGGGGCCGGCCCGGGGTTAATTTTATCACAAGGAATCCGCGCAGCAAACATATCACCTCTGCTCTGCAGTACCGTAAGTAAACAGAGAAATGGCTACATGTTTTACTGGTTGATACTAATGGGATAAATAGTAGATAATAAAATATTTGTATTAGTTAAACATTTAGATTTTGAAATATAGTTATTTATATTTTATTCAAAGCTAGGATGTGTCACATACATGATAGGTCCTTTTGTTTACTGCATGGCTTTTACAGGAACTTATCTTGTATTCTCTTTCAAATAGTCAAAAGAACAAATTGATTTGATGTTTTTAGTGTAAAAGTCATGCTATGGGATTACTTTATAGGTATTGATATTAAAGTTACTGTAAAATCTAATTTAGTCGTAAGATAGAAAATCTCTGATAAACAATACAATGTTGTGCAATACATTGCTATCGTCCTGTAGTCTGATAAATGTTGTAGTGTGTTGTGTGTGTTATTTACCAGTAATTATTTAGGCTGTGTATTTGTAGTACATCACATTCATGGCAGCTGGGGCCCAATCGTTTCTTTGAACCACATTGCCACATTTGGATATTGTCTTATGTGTTTGACAAATTGCCAAACTTTATAATTAATGTATATGTACTAGTTGGCATCAGTTAAGGTTTTCAATATTGTTTGAAATAGTCAGTCAAAATGTCGTCGACTAAACGAAATGATATACTGGATGAATATTAATATTAAAACAAGTGCAAATTATAGACATTTTCATTTTTGTCCAACAAACCATATCGTAGACAAATTTTCTTCTGTTACCTGTGGGAAAGTACGTACAGTAAGGCAACTTTGAAGTTTATTTTATATAAAGAATAAGTTTAATTTATGTCGGTTATATCAAGACTAACAAACAGCTGTTACGTATTGAATTTGTATATTTAATAGACTAATAATTCTTGACAGGAAACAGCGTTTCTGAGAATGTTAAAACTTTGTTTTTTGTGTTGCCAGGTGATGGAATGGGGTCTGAACGCATGAAGGCGACATCAACAGGGAACCTACGGGATCCCCAAGTGTCTCAAACCCAGCCCCCAAACCACCAGGAACGAGGCATGCCACCAAGGGACATGAGGGACCCAGGACTGATGTCAAAGTCAATCCCCAACCTTCGAATGGACAATTCTTTCGACAGCCGTGAGCATCAGCAAGTGTCCCCTCAACAGATGCGACCTGCTGCCTCGGTCGGCGCTCTACAACACGACTACTACAACCACAGTATCGACAGGCGTGCTGACCCCAGGGCACACGACTATGAGAACCAGCAGAGTCTTGACCCCAGGATCAGGAATGCTCCAGACCCTGGGAGAACAGACAGAGGGTATCCAGAAGCAGCTCAATCTTTGCCCCCAAATATGGGTTTGGCAGGAGGTAGGGGCCCTCCTTCATCAAGAAATTCTCAGTCAAGTTTCAGAGATGAGAGGCCTCGGTCTGAATATTTTAGCCATCCAGCTGAGCGATTTGACCTACGGGAGGAGCGACCGAGATCAATGGAGATCAATGCTAACAAGATTCATGAGTGGCAGCAGAAGTACAATATGGACGACAACCATTCACAACCTTCACCACATGAGAGGAGTTTTGAAGGTCGTGACCCTAATTATGTGAATACATCACGCTCTCCACCTCACTCTAGTCCTGGGTATGTGAATTCAGGTGACATTCCAAAAATGAGTGCTAACAATGAGGCACGTCAACCCAACTTTTATGAAAATACAGTGCCAAGACAGACAGAGCCACAACCAGCTTTCCATCAGATGAGAAAGCCACAGCTGGATCATGCACCGCAAGCAGCACCCAAACCCATGGTGGCCACCAAACCGGCCTCCCGCGTGATGCCAGTCGACATTCCTCGTGTGGAAGCAGACAATCGACAGTCTCAGCCACACTTCTTTGACCCAAGGTCACAGCAAGGACATGCTTCACCAAAGCCTATGAACCAGTCCAGCTACATGGCCGGTCAGCCACATATGGTACATTCCCCAGGGTACAATGATCCTCGTAATGCCAGTCTTCAGCGGAATCAAAAGTTTCCTCAAGCTAGAGAGGTGTATAACCCACATCAGAGCCCAGAACTGCCCCCTGCCCCTGTGGACATTCCTCCCGAGCTTCCTCCCCCTCCTGCAGGTATGGACATGGATGATGACTTACCTCCCTTGCCACCACCTCCTTCCCAGGACTACAGGTCAGACCCTCACATGCGTGATGATATGGATCATCCCTATGCAAATCAAGGAGATCCACGCTTCAGCATGCCTCCCAATAGTTACCAGTCATACAACGCACCTCATCAGCAACCTAATTACTCCCAGCATCACTTCCAGGACCCACGCCAAGAACAATCCATGATGGCCTACTCAGAACCACAGCGACACCCCCCTCCCCAGCAATTGCCACCGGCTAAACCACAACACATTCATCCACAGAGCTACCAGCCAAATCACGACTACCAGAATATTAGCTATGAAGGGCGCTCTCCAAACCGCTCTTTTGAATCTCCGCCTCAGCATTCGCCAAACCAAAATGTTTATGAGCCATACGAAAACAAGACTGCTTCATTACCTCCTGGTGTGGCTCCACAGGCCTTCATGTCCCAGCCACCTATGAAGAACACAACAGTGCCACGCAACATGGCTGCACCACAGCAATTCACTTCGCAAAGCAAAAACCGACTCGTGGCCGAAATGTCGGAGCGTACCAAAGAGGGAAAGCCAGTGAGCTCTCCATGGGAGCGCGACGAGAAGGAGAGGATGGAGAAGGAACAACAACTGGATATGAAAAAGGCAAGGGAAGTTGAGATTGGGGATCTGGGGTCAAGATCCTACCTGTCACCACAAGAGCAGGACAGGCTGAGAAAGCTGCGACTTGAACAGGAGTTCCAACGACGCGTCCAGGAAGTGGAGGGTCGTGGCGAGGACGAGGAAGATTCTGACCAAGATATTACCAACAACACACAGGCGGTAAGTCACGTAAACGTTTTCCGGATTAATAAAATTAGTCTTGGGATAATGATACATTCATGGTCATACCTGTAACTGTGACTTATTTCCATGAGAAACATTTATTTTGAACAGTAATTGAAATAGATTTGAGTAAATATATACATTGTATGCAGAAAGTTATTGTTTATTAGAAAGTGATATCTTCAAATTTTAGCAAGATTTAGATTGTTTCTATTCCTAGGATAATTTCAACAAAGTAGACCTAGATATTGAAATCATAGTGTAGAATTACTACCGGTACAATCAGTCTGATAGTGCCGTGTTACTTGTCATTTTTGCTGTTGAGTGTTATGTACAGCTTTCATTTTTCATAGTGTTATTTTTATGTTTACATAAAAAAATCTACTTCTTGTTGAATTTGTGATTTCAAGGTCATTAGTTCTGTATCGTTACTCACCTTTAAGTAACTCCTATCTTGTTAAACTTGTAGATTCATTTCAAATACAAAAATAACCCTTTTGCTTAATAACACTGAACACAGAAGACATATCAAAATTAACATTAGGATAATATTGTACATGTATTTTCGCAGGGACGCGAGTTTATGATTAAAACATTGAAGGAAGACATCATCAAGGCCCAGAAACGGATGGATGACTACAACCGTAAACGCATGTTTGAGGAAGTGGAGAAGGAGAAGGAGCGCAAAGCAGTGTAAGTGTCAAACATGGTTTTACTGTCCATAAGATGTTCAAATTTTCAATCATTCCTGAATGTCAAATTTTGATAAGTGCTATCTTCTGTTGAAGAATGAAAGCATCTATTTATTTGCAAAATATGTAATCTTGTCTAAATTTGAAGCTTAAAAAAGAACAGTCTCTTTAAATGACTTTATTATTTAAACAATACATTGAAAAAGAAGCATTAACTTGGTTTTGAACAGGATTGAGAAAAGGTGAGTTTTACTTACAGATTGAATGTCATTAATAAAATTAATTCTTTTCTTGGATGAAAAGTATATAAGTAATCACCCAGACTAAGAAGTATTATAGGTTATCACCCAGCATTACAGCTATTGTCAATAATCTCCCAAACTAAGAAGTATCTCCCAAATTAAAAAGTATTATAAGTTATCACCCAGCATTACAGCTATTGTCAATGATCTCCCAAACTAAAAAGTATTATAAGTAATCACCCAGCATTACAGCTATTGTCAATGATCTCCCAAACTCCAAAGTATTATAGGTTATCACCCAGCATTACAGCTATTGTCAATGATCTCCCAAATTAAAAAGTATTATAAGTAATCACCCAGCATTACAGCTATTGTCAATGATCTCCCCAAACTAAAAAGCATGTTTTGGTTGCTTGAGTATGTCTTGAAAAATTATATCAATGCACAAAATAAAAATGACAGCACACTGTATATGGAGGTTCACGTCCTCCACTGCCTTCGTCAGCATTGCCATCCATTTCCTCTGAATCCTTTCACTTTCTCCCTGAAGTCCTGAATGAACTGCTGCATCTCATTCTCTCAGTTAGTTGATGCTTTTGATCAAACAAGTAGTGTTATAAAATATAATATTTTGTTTTCTCTGTAATGATGTGGAGTATTAAGATATAGATTCTTGGTTATGTAAAATCAGAAAGAAAACATCTAGCTGTTAGCTGTCAATGAAAGCTTGGTAGTAAGGATAGTTGATAAGATGTTTTCTGGTTTACAGTTTGGAGAGGAAGCTGGACATTTTCGAAAGAGAGAAAGAAGAGCGACAAGAAAGAATTCGACAACGTCAGGAGAAGCGACAACGAGAACAGGAGGAAAATCTCCGTAAACAAAAGGTCAGTTATCCTGAGGAGTGTGTCACTTAACTTGTAGACTATGTCAGTTAACTTAACGATGGTGTATATTGTTTTCAGAAGTTGGACGCCATAACCGGGTCATAATTCCTAAAAGATTGTTGTATATAAAGATATTTTTATTACAATAAGTTTGTATTGTCTTGTGTTTGAAAGGAGTAGATTTGTAGGACTTAATTTTTAATTAAAAATCTGGTCAGAAAATAATGTCGATACTGATGCCCCGGCGAATGTGGGTTAGACTCCCAATAATGGTGGCAACTTGTGACCGAGCTGTGAATGGGATCTTGAAATACCAGGATGGCTGTTGTTTCAGTCAGGTAATCATTCCTTGGTGTAGCTTTGCTTGTTTTCAGGCATTCGTAAGAGTTCTTTAAAAAAAAAAAAAACGTAAAAGAAAAAAGAAATCAAACTTGATGCCGAAGATTTCAATGATAGAAATAACAGAAGATAACAAATAAACAGGTGTACAATCACTAAAAATGTTGTTTGGTGTTTTAGGAGATGAGAGAGAAGCAACGACAAGACTATGAGGAACAGAAACGCATCATGGTGGCTGAGGAGGAGAAAGTTAGGGCAAGGAAAATGGAGGAAATTCAACGACAGAAGGATATTGTAAGTTGTCAGCTCCACCATGGCTCTGTACACAACAGATATAACTGAATGTTGATTTCAATGATATAAATCTTGATTTAAGGAATAGGTATATAAGTTAAGGAATAGGTATATAAGTTAAGAAGTTAATCAGTTCTGGTTTATTTTAATTGTATTCCTTAAGAGTCCAATCTTTCTGCTGTATCTGTGAAATGCCGGTCTGCTATAAGACTTAAAACATTTTGTTTTCCCAGGAACGTGAACAAAAGAGGAAGGCACAAGAGGCTCGTGATGCTGAGGAGAAGATCCTGCGCGCCGAGGCCAGAAGACGTGAAGAAGAGTACCAGCGTCAGCAACAGGAACAACGGGAACGCGAACGTAGAGAGGCAAGCCGTGAAATCACTGTTGGGAATGAACGAAAACGCTTGGAGGTGTTGACAGTACAAACACAGCAGCAGCAGCAACAGTACCAGCCATACGCTAACCTGCCCTCCCAGTATTCTCCCCCGGACAGGTACACCATCAACGTACCTCCTCCTCCTACTCGGGGCTCCTCGTACGAGGTCGCCACAAGGTCAAACGGTAGTAACCCCAATAGTTATGAGGCAGCGAACAGATCAAACCCCAGTATGGTGAACAGTTATAATGGATATAGAAATAATTCAACTGGTGGGAGAGTTCCTCCAGAACCAGCCTTCAAAAAATCGGTGAAGTTTAACACACAATTGGAGACACAGATAAACACTTACAATGAGGACCAAGGGCGGGGCAACTCGGTATCATCATACCGGTCTTCTGTGTCAGACCAACACTCGCCATCATCTCCCAGCATCAATCCCACACCACTAGACAACAATAACAGTAATGCCTTTGTAACTCCTCCACAACCGAACCACATAGATCAAAAATATCGCACAACCGAAAACACACCGTCAGTGATTGGAGCACAGGAAGTGTATAGGGACCCACGGAGTCGGATCAATGCTCAAAAAGACGTTCATATCGGACAACCTTTTAAGAAAGGACATGAAAAAATGTCATTCAGAGACAAAATGAAATTCTTTGCTGCAGAAGCAGGTGAAGAAACTCCAAAATATAAACCGAAAGCATCGAAAACTCTCCGAAATATAGAATCTCAACTACATAATGGGCAGTGAGGTCCTCAATACATCAATGACCAGAGTGTGGGACACAGACTGACTGGTTGTTGGGAGAGAAACCCCGTCATGTTGGGCTTCAGGGACTAAGCTTTTGGCCTTTCCCTGACAAGTGAATAGAGAAGTTCACGGATTCTCCCCATGGTAGTATGTTTGTGGAGACCCGACAGGGATGTTTGATTCATTAAAAGTCGGAGGTTATTTCTTCTAGTGTTAGGGAGAATTGTGGTTAAGTGCTGGCCTACGGTGTTTTTGTGACATTCATTGATGTATACGGGCATTAGGTTGTCTTGGAAACAGTACTTCACACATTCTCCTGATTGGATTAAACCATTTTCGGTGAAGTACACAAACTTTTGATGTACTGCAGACATGGATTTCACATATCTCATTATAATCATCTATCTATGTCCATTTATATCGTACTCAGTTTGTTAGGTTAGATATAAGGGCCAATGATTCAAAGACTGATTAATTTAACGACAACTTATTAAAACATTTCCATTATGTAATGGTATATGTTAAAAATGTCAAAAATAAAAACTTAACCTGTATGTATAGATTCTAAATGGTCACTAAAAGACAAGAAAACAAAGTACAGGAAAAATTGTAGTTAAGGTATTTCTTGAACAGATTTTGAAAATTCTGGTAAATGACACGTTAAAACTTTGAACAACTGGGCTTGGGAGTTATGACCTATTTACATATGAAATGTTGTGCAATTTTTTTCTCTTTAATTTTTAATATTGAAACAAATTTCATTTATTGATATAGGTTATGAAATATGATTTTGATTTTGAAGTATGATTTGGGATTAGCCGATATTATATGACAGGCTGTGATCCTTCAGTACACGTTTTGATATTAGACTGTTCATTCTGCTTTTGTCACTGTACATAACACGGAGAGAATGGTGCGTGTGTACAGTATATAGTCATATATACTGGAACATTATGTGGTCAAGGATTAACGGTGAGAGTTTTATATAGACAAATATTATGCAGCTTTTTGTACCTAACTGTACAGATATTGTTATTATTAACAAATCGAAGAGATATCACTGTTATAAAGATTGGCACATATCTACGGCTATTGTACATAGTTGTAATTATAATTTGTTAAGTATCTTATACATATTACATAGGATGAGAAAAGGAACAAATTATACCCCACATACGTGGAAACAGACCCGCAGATGTGGACGGAATGGGAGGTATGTTAATTGGTGCACCTCATTACAAATCATAGTCCTGTGGTGTGAAAGGTGACGTGTTTTCAGTTTACCGTGAGCTGCGTCACATTTTATATACATTATATATATGGACATTTGTATATAGCACAGACATGTTATGTACATAGAAAGAGTTTTATATTTTGATAAGGTTGGAGGTATAGAATAATGTTAGTGATAATTAGTTTCTCATCCATTGGTCATGCAAACTTGCAAGTAACTTGACTAGACAGGTAAGTCACAGGTATCTAGAGACAGGTAAGTCACAGGTATCTAGAGACAAGCAAGTCACATTTGATGTTACTTTAGACAGTTCTGCTCTCTCTTACCTATATCACAGATCTGATTCAACGAGGCTTATTTTACCATTTACCCCAACTCTACTATATATTTCCATTTTCACTGATCAGTTCTCTAAATATGTACGATGACTATCAAAGCTCTGCTTAATGGTGTCATGTTTGTAGTCGAGTACTTAGCTATGGAACTAATAATTCACTTATTCTGAGCCTCGGAATAATGAATACATTCCAATTTTATCATTCCATATCATTCTCGGTTGTCAAAAAGTTTTCTGAGGTTTTTGTAAGTAAAGGCATTTGTTGTTATACATAGCTACAGAAGTGCAAGTTGCTAATAAAATTGTATTATCTGAACATTTGTTCTTTGAAATGCAATGTATACCAGTGTCTAGAGTTACCGTTCCAAATTTTTAGAAAACTACTCAACATTTGTTAGGTTTCTGATCATCCTCCCTCGTACAATCATGGGGACACGTCTGATGGCATAATTTGCAGCAATTTACGGTCATCAATTGAATTAATTTAAAATTAATTTGACATAAATAGTGTGAATATAAAATTTCCCATAATCAGGTGAATAAAAATTTCAATGGTGCATTTAATGAAAGTGAAAAGTTTGCAGTTCTTGTTAAATACAGCTGGTGGACCAAAGGCTTTATTGATTTTACAGAGTACACCAGTTCACTTAAAACATTAAAATTGTTTCCCTATGATTATTTGTTTTCTTGTAATTTTTTCCCAATCTTTCTAGATCTGTTATCACTAAAACAAGTTTGTCAGTTACAACCTTTTGTATTTGTAGTTTAACTCTAAAATCCTGATTATTTTTTTAAATGGATTTCCAGCAACGTTGAGGATTTTGTTTCACACTACAGTCGTAGTCTATGGTTAATCAGCCAGAATCACAGGCAAAACATAAAAATGATCCTTTGCACTAAATTAAACAAATGATATTAGCGATGTATTAATTATCACATGCCCATTTTATCATAAAAAAGTTTTCCATTTAATTAAAATATGAATCCACCAGATCAGTGATAGTATGTTAATTGCATTGTCCAATGTCATAATACATATCCTCATATCAAATTTGGTTGTGCCTTACTCATTCCAGGTTGTGAATCAAATGAAACCTGTCCATTATAGACAGTTAAGATTGTAACAAATGATGGCTACTATATATTATTTGTAGATATTCTAGCCTAGGCTTTTTTCCTTTGTACAACTCTCTCCTTTCCATACATTGCTGGTATTGGTGTTGTTCATTTTCTGGGCATCAAAGTAATCTTAGAGATGTTTTCCTTCTGAAATACTTACTTTCATGGCCAACCTCTTGCTGTAAAGGCATCAAAGGGAGGTAATGTGTGTGCTGTGCCGAAATATGTTGTTTATGAATAAGCCTTTCTGTGACAAGCAAAACTAGAAATTTGCTAGAGGCCGTTACAGTGTTAATCATGGGGATACAGTGAGTCGCTTGTTTATGTGTTTTCCCTACTGACGTCCTACCAGAATGTAGGTGTGACCGAACTCTCTAAGACTACATACTGTGGCCAAGTTTGTAGACTTTTTATTTGCTGTAATGCATCGTAGTATTTCATTGCATGCACCTGTAATCAACGCTAAGCAATAAATTAACATATATAACAACAACTCAATCACGACTTTTTGTTTCATTGTAGACATGTTCTTTACGTTTACTGATTTCTTAACAGAGACTGACGGGGCAGGACAGTAACATACGATACTAGGCAGTGTCGGTTTAGATCAACTCATGTACTAAGAATTAAACAAAAACAATGATACAATAGCAAAGGGCTACGATTCTGTATATTAATAAACTTTGGTATAAAAAAACAAGGGCTATAACTCCCTTTTTCAGTATGCAATATTCCACCTTCTAAAGATACCCAAGATAGTATGGTGAACATAGGTGAAATAGCAAGTAAGTTATGCTCTGGACAAACTTTGATATAATATGTGAATAAAGGGCCATAACTAAGATATAGTGAGGCAAAGGACTATAATACACGACACTCCACCTTCCTACTTAGGTATAGCAAGATTGGTGAACGTGGATGAGATGGGGAAGAAAGTTATAGCCTAGACAAAATGATGTCGACACCCAGCCAGCCAGTGCCATATCATAACATATCATGTCAAAGCCGAGTTAACGTAATTTGTCGCGGTTGTTACAGTTTTGAGGGACTGACAAGCACCTATGCCAAAATTCCAGACTTTGAATCAAATTGATTGTCACCTTCAATTGAGGTGCTTGGTCTGTACGATCCCGAGTTGGTTGTACTTCTCTCCACTCACCTCTGTAAATGTCTCCCAGCAGGGTTTTTTCAACCTCAGTGTTACACTTCTTTATTTTAATGTGATAACAAGATTGAAGCACTCTGTGCATAAAGTAACACAGCCATGAATATTTATAAAAGAAAACCCAAACAATTTCATATCTTGGCAACTTATAATATCCTATTGACCTGTTGAATTATGGAAGGAGATGACAACCTTACAATCGACTGGTATGCTACTGAAGTTGAGATGTCAAATATTATCGCAAAGGTTTATCTCAGCTTTTTGACAATTTTCTCAGACAAATTTCAAGGAGATGAAATTGTTACATAAACCACTGCAACACATATAAATCAAATGTTGAACAAATTGAGCACAATCAGACAGAGCTAGAATATATTAATGTTTGGCGATACTGTGGAGAGCCCAAACTTACAATGTTTGACGATGCTGTGGAGAGCCCAAACTTGCAATGTTTGGGCTCTCCACAGCACCGCCAAACATTGTAAGTTTAGGCTCTCCACAGCATCGTCAACCATTGTAAGTTTGGGCTCGCCACAGCATCGTCGAACATCGTAAGTTTGGGCTCTCCACAGCATCCCCAAACATTGTAAGTTTAGTCTCTCCACAGCATCGTCGCACATTGTAAGTTTGGGCTATCCACAGCATCGCCAAACATTCTAAGTTTGGGCTCTCCACAACATCGCCAAACATAACATTGTAAGTTTGTGCTCTCCACAGTATCGCCAAACATTGTAAGCTTGGGCTCTCCACAGTATCGCCAAACTTACAATGTTCGGCGATGCTGTGGAGAGCCCAAACTTACAATGTTATGTTTGGCGATGCTGTGGAGAGCCCAAACTTACAATGTTTGACGATGCTGTGGAGAGCCCAAACTTACAATGTTTGGCGATGCTGTGGAGAGCCCAAACTTACAATGTTTGGCGATACTGTGGAGAGCCCAAACTTACAATGTTTGAGTGCTCGAGGATGCCTTGGAGAACCCGACATACTAATATTACATTTGAGGATACAGTAAATGTAGTAATTTGCAGTAACTGGCTCGGTAAACAATCAAAACAAAACCAATATTTACCTGTAACAATGATTTAATGACTGATATGTAGTATCACAGCTGACAAATTTGCATTCATCAATATTTAATAAATAAATACCTACATCTTATATACAATCAAATGAAACTCTTAAATTACTGTATTACAGTGTATACAACACTGTTAAATCATTGTAAAACCTTCTCAAGCTTTGTTTCGTCTCATATTATACAGTACTCTTGTCCATATACACATCACATTATTCTGGTACGTTTAAAAGTCAACAGTAATCCTGAGATTCTTCTGTTGGGACGGAATTACGTCAACAAAACTGTTCTCTAACCAAGAGAATGTTATCAAACACATGAACTATAATGGAGTCTGTCACTGTCATCTAATCCAAGAAAATGTTATCAAACACATGAACTATAATGGAGTCTGTCACTGTCATCTAATCCAAGAAAATGTTATCAAACACATGAACTATAATGGAGTCTGTCACTGTCATCTAATCCAAGAAAATGTTATCAAACACATGAACTATAATGGAGTCTGTCACTGTCATCTAATCCAAGAAAATGTTATCAAACACATGAACTATAATGGAGTCTGTCACTGTCATCTAATCCAAGAAAATGTTATCAAACACATGAACTATAATGGAGTCTGTCACTGTCATCTAATCCAAGAAAATGTTATCAAACACATGAACTATAATGGAGTCTGTCACTGTCATCTAATCCAAGAAAATGTTATCAAACACATGAACTATAATGGAGTCTGTCACTGTCATCTAATCCAAGAAAATGTTATCAAACACATGAACTATAATGGAGTCTATCACTGTCATCTACTCCGGTAACATATCTTCTCCCAGATCTTCATCAAACATATCGTCATCGGCCTTGATTCCGCGGGTGGCAGCTGTCTTGGGACGCTCCATCTGGGGCCCCAAGGGATCGCTGTAGGTTGCATCTGCATAAACAAATTAAGATTTCTTTTAATCTTCTGAACAAATTGTTCTGGAATAATTGAAGTGTTATAAAAAAAAAAAAATATTTTATTATGATATGCATACTGTACAAATTCACCAATTAATGAATACAGAGATTTACTGGATTAGGGTTAAATTTGATGCTATAATCGAGCCAAGCTATAACAGATTTGTATTTAGATGTCAAAGTACAGGAATATATTTGCATGTGTTATAAACAAATATGAACAATGCATAAATCTAAGTGTACACGTTCTAAAACTGATATATTATAAGTATGAAAAACTCTGTTACTATCAGACATAGGAACCCAATTAAGGTTACCGTACTAGTACCCAGATACCAGGGGCCTGTTAGTATCGGACATAGGAACCCAATTAAGGTTCCCGTACTAGTACCCAGATACCAGGGGCATGTTACTATCAGCCATAGGAACCCAATTAGGTTACCGTACTAGTACACAGATACCAGGGGCCTGTTAGTATCGGACATAGGAACCCAATTAAGGTTACCGCACTAGTACCCAGATACCAGGGGCATGTTAGTATCAGACATAGGGACCCAATTAAGGTTACCGTACTAGTACCCAGATACCAGGGGCATGTTACTATCAGACATAGGAACCCAATTAAGGTTACCGTACTAGTACCCAGATACCAGGGGCCTGTTAGTATCAGACATAGGAACCCAATTAAGGTTACCGTACTAGTACCTAGATACCAGGGGCCTGTTAGTATCAGACATAGGAACCCAATTAAGGTTATCGTACTAGTACCCAGATACCAGGGGCATGTTAGTATCAGACATAGGAACCCAATTAAGGTTACCGTACTAGTACCCAGATATCAGGGCCACTTAATTACTCGGGTAACTAGTTTTGTTTGACAGGTTTTTAAGACACTAATTTGGCCAAGTGCCACCCTGTCAGATATATTTCACACTATCACAAAATCCTGATATATCCATGTAAGAGTATGTTCTGTAGCTTCAACGTTCCTCGTGTAAGGTTTAGATGGTTTTACAGATACACCTAATAGGCTGATCCTTTTGCTCTTGAACAAGAAGGGAAATTTAACATGTTGTGGAAACCACTGCATATAAAATCAGTAGTTTTGGTACATGGGGAGAATTCAACCCTTGGTAAATTCTTTAGAAAAGGCAAGGCTACATCTACAGTGGGTCAATATAAAAATAAGACAATTGTGACATCCCGATGTTGCTAGAATATTAAGTATGATATATAAGCATTGTATTTTTGCAGTTTATTTCAAAAGAATCTTTAACTGTATTCAATTTGTCTATTGAAAATTCACAAAATTTATGTACCTGGTAAAAACTAACCCAAAAAGTGTATGAATATAGCTTATTAAGAAAATAATGTCACTTATTGTACAAGCAAACAGAAGCACCTGTAGATGTTATATATTATGAAAGAGTGGATTTTTGTCACTGAAATTCCCTTCACCACCAGTGAACAGTTTAACTACAGGTGACTGTTAATGGTCGTCTACCCCGGTAAAGGGAGATAACACCAGCAGGTCATTTAGCTATCACACATGATATATTGTACAAGCTTAAGCCTTCAATTGAAAATAATAATCCTGAAACGGAAAGCCAGGTGCTTCATACTCTGATTAGTCCTTTGGCAAGAACTGAGCTTGTAAACAAAAATTTACTAGAAAGTAAAAAAATTATAAATAAATCATGAATTATCAATCACACAAGAAATATATGTATACTGAAGCAGTAAAAGCAATAAAACATAGGCAAAAATAAACCAAACTGATTTCGTCTTAATCTAAAAACCAAGTGTTTATTGAAGAAAACATTAGTATGATGGAGAGATGGTATATAGATGGGTACAGTATAACACAGAGGCTTCTGAAAGATTACAGAGGAAGAAAGTACCAACACAATACCTACCGTTTTTGACATCCTCTCCTTAATTTAGCAATAATGAATAAATGAAAAGGGGTAGATTTATGAATGGATCACATGTAACAGATATATCAAACTAATAATGAAAATGAATGTTGCAACATTTTTATACAAACATGCCTATAGTATGTCACAATATAAACTGAACCCTGAAAGTACTTCAGGGGGGTGGGGAATGTTGTTTTAAATTGTCCTGATGAAGCCTCGCACCAAAAGGCAAAACCAGTAGGCCAATAAATATAAGTACCAACTTACTGGTGACGCTTGAGCATGTTGTGATTAATTGTTCCTGGTTATATATTTATATAAACTGACAAGGTTCTTCACTGAAATATTTGAAAGAAATAAAAATCCCCTTGCCTTCGGCCTTTAGATAATGTGACAATACATAATATAAACACTTTGTCACAGGGCTGCCTGTAAAATTGCTGGCTCCATTGATTGCACAATACCAAACCTGCACAATATCTAATGAATATAACAACCAAAATATAATATACCATAATGCTTTCTACAGATAGTGAACAATGTGATAACAACACACCTACAGCTGTTGATGAGTTTGACCAGTTATAAAGTAATGCCTGAATCTGAACTGGACAAACAACTGATGTTACTGGTTAATCACAAAACAGGACAACCCAAACAAATTTGACCGTTATATATATATAAACATATGAGCTATCTATGTATATATAATACTGCAGGGACACTGACTAAAGCATGACAAAATACATATGTTATTTATGTAGCAAAGGGAAGGTAACTGTGTATTCTAGTTGGTTCTAGTATATATACTAACCTATCTCCTGTTTACCAGACACCTGATAGGCGCCATCATCCACATCGTCCAGATTGGGTCGCTTCTTGCTCCCACCTCTCCTGTGACCGCTGGTCTTCCTTCCACTACTCTCCTCTGTAAGACAGATTACAGGATACCAGTATAGATAAACAATGGTTAGAATATAGTTGACGTAAAAACAAACCTTTAGATATGATAGACCTGTTATGTAGACAAACCTTTAGATATGATAGACCTGTTATGTAGACAACCTTTAGATATGATGGACCTGTTATGTAGACAAACCTTTAGATATGATAGACCTATTATGTAGACAAACCTTTAGATATGATAGACCTGTAGAGTGTTGGACTATATGACTATATTTTCTAGCCTTGCAGTAAGACTGTACAAGTCTTTTTGTATTCATTACCAAAGCTTCTGTCTTTAAGGGTGACTGGCCCATTCAAACTACATATACAAATTCTCTACATGAAACCATCTATCTTAGCTAGCCTCATCTAACATATCACTCTATGTACATTGTAGATCTAACAAACTTAAAAAGAAATTCACCCCGACACAATTTTCATTTTACTTGTTCTAAACCCACATGAAAAGGTTCATTAATTATCTGTACAAAATTTTACAATCATGTTTTCCTAAAAAGCCTGCTAAGCCTCTGAATTGAGTTTCCTCGCACCTCAGACAGAGATATCCCACCTCAGACAGAGATATCTCACCTCAAACAGAGATATCCCACCTCAGACAGAGATATCCCACCTCAGACAGAGATATCCCACATCATCCCCATGCTAGATTTTTCTATCTTGTCCGATCTGTCTTGTACCTATACGTGACATTTCGTGGAATTTTTACACTGAGATGTATTCATTCGCGCTTTACCTGCTTGAAATTGTCAATTTGCATTATAAATGTTCTGTTTTGTCGTTATATGTATATTTTTTATATTGTTAGGTATATGATGATGTAGATAAAATATAATCTACACTGTGAAATACGTTGTAATCTATGTAAGGACGATCTACATTTTTACGCGGAAGCATTCAAATGTAGCTTTAGCAAAATTGAATAGTTCTTTTTGAGCTAAAGGTGCGAGAGAAAAAATCAATTACCTGTAACTGAGCTAGATCGGGTTATCTCAGTCTCGGGTTAAGATTCTGTAACATCCCAACCTCGGCTTACGCCTCGGTTGGGATTTTGTTACAGAATCTTAACCCTCGACCGAGATAACCTGATCTCGCTCAGTTACAGGTAAAAGGTTTTATTAGTCTGTAACATAGCTTATACCTGTATCGTCTCCTCCTCTCCGGCCACGCCCACTTCCTCTTCTTGTTCCACTACTGGCTCTCTGTATCAAGGAAAGGTACACATAACAGGATTTATTACTGTAGCTCACTGGACAGACATGTGTTAAACCAACTATAACACTTACAACTGTGCAAATATTTGTCATTTTGTTTTTTGTTTTCAAATATCTTTTGGCATTTTCGAAATTTATGTGGCAACATATTACACATCATTTTGTGGAATACAAGATGAAAGAGAACTGCTACACTACGAGTTATTTTACAACTGACCTGTTCCCGCATCTCTTTAGTCTTTTCTGCTTTCTTTAACTTTGTGGCATATTCCTGAGCTTCCTTTAGACCCAGATCAGAACATATTCTAACAAGGAACTTTAAACCTGTAATTTAAATGAAGTCCTGATTTAATAATAAGGACCATCCAACCAAATGATTTAACACAAAAAGGAAAATATTACAACCATAGTAAGTAACCAGCCACACCAACCCTATAGCTCCATCTTCCGAGTTTATGTGATCAGATATCAATATAACTCAACAATTAAACATGAAAATATCTTATGAAAAACTTATCAGTACAAAGAAAAGTAAACAAATTTATTGAATATGAAACTCTTAATACAGTTTTCTGTTATTTGCTTCTGCCTGTAAATGCTATACCATATAGATAAGTTTTACTTACATTCTACATTTTCAGGGAATCGTCTGTGTATGTGTTTGTAAGTTTCCAGAAGCCTGTAAATGCTATACCATATAGATAAGTTTTACTTACATTCTACATTTTCAGGGAATCGTCTGTGTATGTGTTTGTAAGTTTCTAAAGCATTCTGGTAATTTCCACTTCTACGATGACAACTAGCTATCATTAGCTGCCACTTCACCTGGGCGGGTCTGTAAAGTACAGGTATAGTTGTCATCATATTGGATTATGTTGACAAGAATCTCATAAAACATGGTCAAGTTTCCATTTAGAATCCAGATTTGTATTACAATACTGATAAGGATTGCGTATTTACCGATGATTATTGTACGTATCTGCAAAAATTATATCCCATAGTGTAATAACAAACAATTTACAGTACAAAAGAATCTTTCTTGTGACCCCCACCCTGTCTGCCTGTAACATTGTGTCTGTCAGGATGGAATATATAGGTGGTCTCTTATAAAAGGTTGAATTTGCGTTACAGTCAAACCTGACTATACAGTTTTTTCTAAGGTTATAGTTTCTTGTTGCAGAGGTCTATCATAAAAGTTTCTCATTGGAGTCATTACTTGACATGACAAACTTTACTGTTCTTCACACAGTAAACCTTCACACAGTAAACCTTCACACAGTAAACTTCAAATACTTACTGTACTATACCTGCTCTCTCAAAATAATGGATGGCTTTTTCACAGAACTGAGAATCTATGTAATATGCTCCTAACCACTCTATCACAGGAATGTTGGATGGGAAATATCTATATGACTGAAAAAATAAAATATTATAAGTTACAACACTTATAAATGGTATATCATTTAAATGAAGCACTGCAGTATAAATAAAATTCAAGTTGATTTGAAAACCTGCATCATTGATTTTCCACTTGGTTAAATTTTCCTTTGGTTTGGATATGAAGTTAATTAGTGAATATGTATGAATATGAAATTAATTGAATTAATATATACATACATCAGTGCGAAATCTGATTAAACCTTTAACAATGGGAACATATGTTTTTATTAGAACAGGAATAAAATCTGTTAGATACCACAACAAGGTCGCTGGCAGTACTTTCACTGGCAGTACTTTCACACACAAAAGTTTCAGAAATGTTTGTTAGTTCAACTAATCATAGTGTAGTGCATCAATGGACATCTTAATAATGACTGAAAGCCTGCAGGTGACTTGTCAAATTATGATAGATACATACATCATAATATGCTGTAATACTAGATTGTGACTCATTATAACAAATACGTACATCATAATAATACTGGAATGCCTGTGACTTGTCTCCCTCGTTGTCGTAGATCTCCCCGGTCTTAGCCAGTACGGACGTGTCTGTTGGTACGACTCCTATTAACTGCATGAACCTGGTGAGCAAACAGTCACAATAATAAAGACATAGGGAGCCGACAACGCTATAACCCCATTGTGGAAATAGCCCTATCAATAAGGAGGAGTGATCTGACAAAGCGCAGTTATAAATAAAGACATAGGGAGCCGACAACGTCATAACCCCATTGTGGAAATAGTCCTATAGATAAGGAGGAGTGACATGACAAAGCTCATTTATAAATAAAGACATAGGGAGCCGACAACGTCATAACCCCATTGTGGAAATAGTCCTATAGATAAGGAGGAGTGACATGACAAAGCTCATTTATAAATAAAGACAAAGGGAGCCGACAACACTATACCCCCATTGTAGAAATAGTCCTATAAATAAGGAGGAGTAATCTGACAAAGCTCAGTTATAAATAAAGACATAGGGAGCCGACAACACTATACCCACATTGTAGAAATAGTCCTATAGATAAGGAGGAGTGACATGACAAAGCTCAGTTATAAATAAAGACATAGGGAGCCGACAACGCTATACCCCCATTATGGAAATAGTCCTATAAATAAGGAGGAGTGATCTGACAAAGCTCAGTTATAAATAAAGACAAAGGGAGCCGACAACGCTAAATCCCCAATGAAGAAACGGTCAAATCAAAAAAGATCAAGTGAGGTGGACCTGACAAAGCCATACCCCCCCCAGCTGATGACCTAGAGTACCTAGACTGATACATGACACACCTAGTTATAATTTACGCATCTCAGAAGATAGGATGATATTAGTAGTGTTGTTAAACCTATTTTGTCTCTGTAACCACAGTATTTGACTGAGGTCCTCTTAAATACACTGAAATGTATTAAAACCTTCTGGAAGGCTTTGTTTTTTTTCTAATTTTTTCTCAACCAAAAACAAACAGGACCTACACAAACAAATTGATTTATTATTGTACAACGACACCTTGTAAGTCCTACTGATAAACTGTTTTATTATTGTACAACGGCAATTGGTTAGCCCTACTGATAAACTGCTTTATTATTGTACAACGACACCAGTTATAAATAAAGACAAAGGGAGCCGACAACGCTATAACCCCATTGTGGAAATATTCCTATAAATAAGGAGGAGTGACATGTCAAAGCTCGGTTATAAATAAAGACATAGGGAGCCGACAACGCTATAACCCCATTGTGGAAATATTCCTATAAATAAGGAGGAGTGACATGTCAAAGCTCGGTTATAAATAAAGACATAGGGAGCCGACAACGCTATACCCCCATTATGGAAATAGTCCTATAAATAAGGAGGAGTGACATGTCAAAGCTCGGTTATAAATAAAGACAAAGGGAGCCGACAACGCTATAACCCCATTGTGGAAATATTCCTATAAATAAGGAGGAGTGACATGACAAAGCGCAGTTATAAATAAAGACATAGGGAGCCGACAACACTATACCCCCATTGTAGAAATAGTCCTATAAATAAGGAGGAGTGACATGTCAAAGCTCGGTTATAAATAAAGACAAAGGGAGCCGACAACGCTAAATCCCCAATGAAGAAACGGTCAAATCAAAAAAGATCAAGTGAGGTGGACCTGACAAAGCCATACCCCCCCCAGCTGATGACCTAGAGTACCTAGACTGATACATGACACACCTAGTTATAATTTACGCATCTCAGAAGATAGGATGATATTAGTAGTGTTGTTAACCCTATTTTGTCTCTGTAACCACAGTATTTGACTGAGGTCCTCTTAAATACACTGAAATGTATTAAAACCTTCTGGAAGGCTTTGTTTTTTTTCTAATTTTTTCTCAACCAAAAACACACAGGACCTACACAAACAAATTGATTTATTATTGTAAAACAACACCTTGTAAGTCCTACTGATACACTGATTTATTATTGGACACTACACCTTGGAAGTCCTACTGATAAGCTGATTTATTATTGTACAACGGCACCTTGTAAGTCCTACTGATAAACTTATTTATTATTGTACGCTACACCTTGTAAGTCCTTCTGATAAACTGATTTATTTTTGTACACTACACCTTGTATGTCCTACTGATAAACTTATTTATTATTGTACGACGACACCTTGTAAGTGCTACTGAGAAACTGATTTATTATTGGACACTACACCTTGGAAGTCCTACTGATAAACTGATTTATTATTGTACAACGACACCCTTGTAAGTCCTACTGATAAACTGATTTATTATTGTAAAACGACACCTTGTAAGTCCTACTGATATTTTTGTGTATGATACACACATTGCTGAATCTTGAGCTTATACAGTTTTAAAATCTTATTTACAAATATAGCACAGGGTGTTAGTGTATGTCAGGTGATGTAACAACACTGGTCCTTACCATTCTGTGGCCTGGGCTGTGTCATCTAGCTTGTCATGTCTGAGAAAGGTCAAGGTCACAATGGTCACAACAATCTCAGACTAAACCAGAACATTTCTCTAGCTGCGGTCAACATACAGGGTTAAACACAATCAATCATAAACGAAAACTTACATTGAAATATTTTGCTTTTACAAATTTTAAACTTTTTTGAATCCAAACTGTCCTTTCAATATTAGAGACAGTGAGGATAAGTTGGGAACTCTAAACAACTTTATAGAAATGTATTAAGGATACATGTCTGCTATCTGGAACATGACTTGTGGACTGTTTCGTAGGATGGCATGTAGTTTATAGAAACAGTCGAGGGCATCCTCAAGTCTGCCGATCCTCTTGTTACACAGCCCTGCAAAAACACACCACAAAACTATACACAAGCCTGATAACCTGGGAACAGATATAAAATCCATGTTTCATGCATTCTACAGAAAGAGACACAGATATGTATTGTATACATATACATCAGAAAACTTACCTTATAATATTGCATCATGACAGTCTTTACCAGGAGAAACATATCCTTACTGGACATTTGGTCCAGTAAATCTATCTGCTAGACAAAACATTTTTTTTCCTTACCTAAGTTGTACAAGGCCTCCACACAAGACGAGTCATTCTGTAACGCCTCCTTGAAGAGCTCTCTGGCCTTTTCAAAGTCACCTCGTTTGAACACCACATTTCCCTTGTTGACAAGTGCTGTAAGGACAAACATAATAGACAGTTACATAGTAATCTACACCACAGATAGTTACAAAGTCATCTAAGTCACAGACATTACAAAGTCATCAAAGTCATAGACATTACAAAGTCATCTAAGTCATAGACATTACAAAGTCATAGATATTACAAAGTCATAGATATTACAAAGTCATCTAAGTCATAGACATTACAAAGTCATCAAAGTCATTGACATTACAAAGTCATCTAAGTCATAGGCATTACAAAGTCATAGATATTACAAAGTCATAGATATTACAAAGTCATCTAAGTCATAGACATTTCAAAGTCATCAAAGTCATAGACATTACAAAGCCATCTAAGTCATAGACATTACAAAGTCCTCTAAGTCATAGACATTACAAAGTCATCTGAGTCATAGACATTACAAAGTCATCTAAGTCACAGACATTATAAAGACATCTAAGTCACAGACATAACAAAGACATATAGACATTACAAAGTCATCTAACTCATAGACATTACAAAGTCATTTTAGATGAAGGTCTCTTCAAGTTAATGTTTTGGATATCTTTATACAAATAAGGTAGATAAATAATTTGATGCTTTAAAATGTTAAAGAGTACTTGACCTCCATAGTCTAATACTCGAAACACTAAAACTCCCAATCAGTCAAACCCAGACCTCACCACATACCACCCTCCAAAGTTATTTGAAAGAAGTTGAATCTTTAAAACATGTTACTCCTTATATTAAAACCCATATGATAAACAGTAGTAAAAACATGTAATTTGTCACCAATTTGATTAGGAACATGAGTACTTGGCCAACAATCCCCAAAGGAAATGGCATTATTGATATACTTGCACTGGCTAACATATCAGACTGACCTGCAGGGTTGTAGCGATCTGAAGACATGGCAAGCTCAGCATACTTGTCAGCCTGGTCAAGGTCATTCTCCTACACAAACAGACATACAACCAAATCAACTTCCTGTTAATAGAAACAAGTTTCTCATTGCTGACAGTGATATCCATATATTTCCAAAAACACTTGGCATTTTAACAAGAACCATTTATTCAATCAAACTAAAAAGACAAAAGATGTAATGAAGTAAAGAGATTGCCTGTTTAAACAGGTAACATGCCAAGCTGTATCCTTTTACAACAGCTGTGTTGGTTTAAACTTTAACAGTTAAATTTTATAATGTAACATCCTAAATCAGGATTCAAAGTTATACATCTACAACAATACAATTATGAATATCTAAAAATGTTTGATATTTATAGAAACATGCAGTGAATCAGTACAGAAAAGGTAACATTCAACATGAAGGCATACAAAACACATGCATACAGTTACATGTCATAAATATAACTGTCTTAATATCTAAATCAATTAAAAACAATAACAAAACAAAAATTAAACATAACTTTAATGCCAGCAGTATACGAAGTTTCAATTTAGTACGTAACTTTTTTATTATTATTACTTAAGCTTGTTACTGTTTGAGGTAAAATTATCCTGAAGAAATGTTCACTTACACTCATTTGATTTTGCCTTTACAAGGTCTGTTAGTGTGAACATGAAGGTAAGTAACTGTATGTCATCAGTCAAAATACTTCATATCTATTCCCGTGGTCAATTTGTTAAGAACGAAGTAAGAGTCCTCCGTAAAGGTTTAAGTCTACTCTTACATCTGAAATAGGTTCTGAAGTACCACAAGTTATAAGTAGTATACGTAGAATTCACAGTCCACTACCTGTTATTAACTTTGGTAATAAGTATCCAATGTAATGGTTGTAGACTAGTTTTATTTTGATTTCAAAAGACATCTTTTACATACATTTAGTGTTTGCCGTTTTCAAAAGACATCTTTAACATACATTTAGTGTTTGGCGTTTTCAAAAGACATCTTTAACATACATTTAGTGTTTGGCGTGGGCTCTCTTGACACACCTGGTAAGATCATTGTCAGAACAAAGGGTACAGCATCATACTACTATATCCAGTTTAGGACATTACAGTGATATGTCACTTCCAAGTGGCCCTTTATAGTGGACCATTACCTGTAGACACTGTCTTCATATGACCTTAGGACTCAAGTGACCCTTTATAGTGGACCATTACCTGTAGACACTGTCTTCATATGACCTTAGGACTCAAGTGACCCTTTATAGTGGACCATTACTTGTAGACACTGTCTTCATATGACCTTAGGACTCAAGTGACCCTTTATAGTGGACCATTACCTGTAGACACTGTCTTCATATGACCTTAGGACTCAAGTGACCCTTTATAGTGGACCATTACCTGTGGACACTGTCTTCATATGACCTTAGGACTCAATTGACCCTTTATAGTGGACCATTACCTGTGGACACGGTCTTCATATGACCTTAGGACTCAAGTGGCCCTTTATATATAGTGGACCATTACCTGAGGACACTGTCTTCATATGACCTTAGGACTCAAGTGACCCTTTATAGTGGACCATTACCTGAGGACACTGTCTTCATATGACCTTAGGACTCAAGTGGCCCTTTATATATAGTGGACCATTACCTGACGACACTGTCTTCATATGACCTTAGGACTCAAGTGGCCCTTTATATATAGTGGACCATTACCTGTGGACACTGTCTTCATATGACCTTAGGACTCAAGTGGCCCTTTATATATAGTGGACCATTACCTGAGGACACTGTCTTCATATGACCTTAGGACTCAAGTGACCCTTTATAGTGGACCATTACCTGAGGACACTGTCTTCATATGACCTTAGGACTCAAGTGGCCCTTTATATATAGTGGACCATTACCTGACGACACTGTCTTCATATGACCTTAGGACTCAAGTGGCCCTTTATATATAGTGGACCATTACCTGTGGACACGGTCTTCATATGACCTTAGGACTCAAAAATCCTAACAAACAACCATGCATATGCATTTTGATATTGTACCTACACCTTTCAATAACTATATATCCAAGACCCTATTTTGGCCATGGTTAGAGATATAAAGCAGACTGAAGAGGACACTACCTCTGATAGTCAATGATCATATCACCGGTATACCAGGAATGACATACTGGACGCTATAAACACCTGGACTTCGCCGCAGCCTGGCCAAAGTAAAACATAATTGGCAATTTAAAACTGCTCTTGGCGAAAATGTAGACGAGGGGCTTTTACTTAAGTTACTGTTGACAATAGAAAAAAACTTTGGCAATATCTGTTTCTAGAGCAATTGTTACAGGTAAATTTAGCTCCCGGACACCACTTGGGTACTACGATGGTACGGCTGAATGCATTTCTGATGAATGGCAAGGTCAGGTGTTGGAACTATTTTGTGTTTTTACAAAATGGTCACCTGTCAACACAATGACTCTATCTGATATCAAAACGCCAATTATCCAATTATAGCTATTTTGTCTAGTTCTGAGGGGTGCTCTGTGGAGAACAATAGGGTAAGTTAGGGAGGGGAAAGGGTTGTTTTAATTGGATTAGAGTATGTACTGATATAAATCCTGTGAAGTAATGGGAGGCAATAACGAGGCACGGTTGTGTGCTTACATCACATGGGACACAGGCAGGATATTTTTAACGACTTTCTTTTTAATTTTGTTAAGCAGTAACAGATATATAATTGCCAGGGCACTGAAAATGACATGTACATCTTGAATTGTGTCATTCTTGCACTCTGATCGGGAAGACAATTTGCCGAAAATCATATTTAAGTTGCCAATTTTTTTGTTTTTGTATGTGAATATATATTGGCATTTTTGCCAACAAATGATTTTTGACTAAGAATTATCAACTGATAGTATGGAGATAAATAACCACCAATTCAACTATTGATAGGGTTGGTAAATTCCTAAATGATCAGCCTTTGGTTTTGGTGAAAAAGATTTTCTCCAATATGCATGTTAAGTTCTCTTATATATTTTTCTTCATTTTAACAGATGAAATATCTCATCCTGGCACTTTGGCAACAAGGAGCAGCCTGTGTGAATGTAGAAGGCCTTGAAATTGGGATGCAGAAGGCCAGGGAATGTCACAGAAATAATAAAAAAATGAAATTATTTGCAGTGTTAGTGTTTTATAGTCATGAAACATAGAAAATTTTCTTCATTGCAATAATTCATTTCCTGTCCAAGATACATAGGATACATTAGGGGGGTGGGGGTGGGGGGACTGGTCCGTGATTGTGCGCCATCATGAGCACTTGTTTGGAACATATCAAAATTTGGCAAAACTGAATAAAGACCCAGTGCTAGCCCTGCATTTATCCACCACCACCACCTCCACATCAAACTTACTAAAGTGTGCAAATAGATTTGTCAATGATATTCTTTTGGGACTAAATTTTTCATTTAACACAAATGAATACTGTTACTAATACAAATGAACATTGTTTTTGTAAGAATTTTCAAAATATTTTGTTTGTCAGTTGATACCTTTAGTAAGAAAAGAAGTAATTGAAGAACAGAGACGGAACATTTGATTTACTAAGAATAGTTCACAAGGAAGACACTTGTCACTATAACTTTAATTAACGATATAAAGCCTAGTAACTAAAGCCGTGAATATCTGTAATATCATACACTTGGTATCATAGTTAAATTTAATCTGGCTTATAAACACTAGCAGTTATATATTTTAGAATATAACTATCTTTCATTTCATTTCACTTATATAAGCATCTCCTTTATACCGGGTAGTCATATTTTTTTTATTAATAAATTATTATCTTATTACTGAATATTATTTCTTAAATATTTAAAAATACATGTAGAAAATTAAGAAGTTATGTTTTAAACAAAGAAGTCTGTCAAATCATTATCATAAAAATAACATTAACATTTAGCATTAACTGAAAGAAATATGAAAATGAAAGAAAGAATAAAAACTACAAAGTGCTATAGTAATATACCTCTCCATGCTGGCCATTGTTCAAAAAAGGAAAGAATACATTTCAAACCATGTGAATGTGTTTGATAGTAAAATATTGGCAGTCAGTGAGTGCTGTATACTATTATCAAAACCAAACCAAAGGTTCAGAGTAGGCTAGAATAAGTAACTTGTGATTTATATTGCTGTCTTACAAATTCAAATATTTACAAATATTTACAAGATCCTGGTTCAGAATCTTCACCTCTAAAACTCAATAGAGAGTTGAATTTTGTATTTTTTTCCACATACAATTTTGATTATTTTCAGATATTTGTACAAGAGTAAACTTCATTAATCAAAGATAAACCACAAAAAATCACTACTAATGCTTTCACTCTCATTTTTTAAACTGTCTTTTAAATGTTAGCAATGTTACACAGAAATTAACAATGGGGATAAAGTTATGTTTTATTCTTTCTCATCAAATTCCATTTCCAATAAATGTTTACAAGAATCTTGCATCTTTTTTAAGCAAACAATTGTTTTTCGTCATTCAATATTTTAAATTGTATTGCCAAACAAACTCCAAGCTATATGGAGTTCATTTCAAGCCAATATTCTATGCATCAAAAGATTACAACTGACTGTCACACAGGGATGTCAGACGGGGAGACATACCTGGAAGCTGTGACCTGGTGAGATGGCAATTCAAAGCAGACAAGTGGAGAACATTTCATTGAAACAAATATTGCATGCTTGTAGCTCTGGTTATCATGCCTGCTCAGTTTGGGTACTGCTGGTGGGCGTGGTCGACTTACCAGGAAGTAGAGGAAGGACAGGTTGGTGGGTGTGGTCAACTTACCATGAAGTAGAGGAAGGACAGGTTGGTGGGCGTGGTCGACTTACCAGGAAGTAGAGGAAGGACAGGTTGGTGGGCGTGGTCGACTTACCAGTAAGTAGAGGAAGGACAGGTTGGTGGGTGTGGTTGACTTACCAAGAAGTAGAGGAAGGACAGGTTGGTGGGCGTGGTCGACTTACCAGTAAGTAGAGGAAGGACAGGTTGGTGGGTGTGGTTGCCTTACCAAGAAGTAGAGGAAGGACAGGTTGGTGGGCGTGGTCGACTTACCAGTAAGTAGAGGAAGGACAGGTTGGTGGGCGTGGTCGCCTTACCAGGAAGTAGAGGAAGGACAGGTTGGGGGGTGTGGTCGACTTACCAGGAAGTAGAGGAAGGACAGGTTGGTGGCTGCTGTACTTGCTACTTTGGAATCTTTCTTCTCAAATGATTTCAGTGTTTCAATTGCCTACAAACATACAAATCATAGAATTGTGGTACAATCATAGAATTACGCTACATTTCATCGGTTTTGCAAACATTTATTCCAATTTATGAGATTTACCGGTACATTGTTAAGCTTTGTGTGTAAGCTATAAACCTGCATATCTAATAACAATACGTTTATGTCAACTGAAAGCAGAAACCTAAACTTACTTTTATAAGCGATATACATATAATCATTTAATTTCATATAATTTAGTTTTGCCGATATTCTGAGAACAGAAACCATGCTCAATAGTCATTTTAAGATAATAGAGATTAACTAGTTAAATTTAATAAGGATAATATTTACATTTTATGGTTGATAACATTGAACTAATATCAAGATGGTCATGTCATTAAGATTACATGTGGAAAGAGTTAAGGAAATCAGTTACTGTAGGTAAGGCAATGTCGTCAATTATTTGGTGACATCACCAACAATACATGTGATACATATGAAAATTTAGAGTGTTTAATTTACCACATTGACTACATTTTATGATAAAGAAAAGAGAAATAAATTGTATATCAAAATATAAGCAGTTTTAAAGTTTACTGCAACCAGTGTTCGAGTGACAGTGCATTACCAAGTTAAAGTCCTTCTGTTTGAGGTACATGATAGCTTTGTCTATCTCCAGGTCATGAGCCAAGTCAACGTACTGGGAAGTCTTCACCTGCTCCACACACCTGTAACAGAAACAGATCTTTTTTTTTATCACCAACCACCCTTAAACAGGTAAACAACAGAAACATTTCACAGGTAAGCAGCAGAAACATCACAAAGGTAAGCAGCAGAAACATCATGCAGGTAAGCAGTAGAAAGATCACGAAGGTAAACACCAGAAACATCACAAAGGTAAGGAGCAGAAACATCATGCAGGTAAGCAGTAGAAACAACACGAAGGTAAGCAGAAGAAACATCAAGAAGGTTAGCAGCAGAAACATCCCGAAGGTAAGCAGCAAACACATCACGAAGGTAACCAGCAGAAACATCACAAGGGTAAGCAGCAGAAACCTCACGAAGGTAAGCAGACGAAACATCACGAGGGTAAACAGCAGAAACATCACGAGGGTAAACAGCAGAAACATCACTAAGGTAAGCAGCAGAAAAATCATGAAGGTAAGCAGCAGCCACCTCACGAAGGTAAGCAACAGAAACATCATGAAGGTAAACAGCAGAAACATTATGAAGGTAAGCAGCAAACACATCACGAAGGTAACCAGCAGAAACATCACTAAGGTAAGCAGCAGAGACATCATGAAGGGAAGCAGCAGAAACATTTCACAGGTAAGCAGCAGAACCACCATGAAGGTAAGCAGTAGCAACATCACGAAGGTATGCAGTAGAAACATCATGAAGTTCAGCAGTAGAAACATCATGTAGGTAAGCAGCAGAACCACCATGAAGGTAAGCAGTAGAAACATCATGAAGGGAAGCAGCAGAAACATAAGAAAGGTAAGCAGCAAAAACATCACGAAGGTAATCAGCAGAGACATCACGAAGGTAAGCAACAGAAACATCACGAAGGGAAGCAGCAGAAAAATCATGAAGGTAAGCAGCCGAAACATCATGAAGGTATGCAGCAGAAACATCAAAAAGCTAAGCAGCAGAAACATTTCACAGGTAGGCAGCAGAAACATCAAAAAGCTAAGCAGCAGAAACACCGCAAAGGTAAGCAGCACAGAAACATCGCGAAGGTAAGCAGCAAACACATCACGAAGGTAACCAGCAGAAACATCACTAAGGTAAGCAGCAGAACCACCATGAAGGTAAGCAGTAGAAAGATCACGAAGGTAAACAACAGAAACATTTCACAGGTAAGCAGCAGAATCATCATGAAGGTAAGCAGTAGAAACACCACGAAGGTAAGCAGGAGAAACATCACGAAGGGAAGCAGCAGAAACATTTCACAGGTAGGCAGCAGAAACATCATAAAGGTAAGCAGCAGAAACCTCACGAAGGTAAGCAACAGAAACATCATGAAGTTCAGCAGTAGAAACATCACGAAGGAAAGCAGAAGAAACATCAAGAAGGTTAGCAGCAGAAACATCATGCAGGTAAGCAGTAGAAACAACACGAAGGTAAGCAGTAGCAACATCACGAAGGTACGCAGCAGAAACATCAAAAAGGTAAGCAGCAGAATCATCATGAAGGTAAGCCGCAGAAACATCACGAAGGAAAGCAGAAGAAACATCACGAAGGGAAGCAGCAGAAACATCAAAAAGGTAAGCAGCAGAACCACCATGAAGGTAAGCAGTATAAACATCATGAAGGTATGCAGCAGAAACATCAAAAAGGTAAGCAGCAGAGACATCACAAAGGTAAGGAGCAGAAACATCATGCAGGTAAGCAGTAGAAACATCATGTAGGTAAGCAGCAGAACCATCACGACGGTAAGCAGCAGAAACGTCATAAAGGCAAGCAGCAGAAACATAAGAAAGGTAAGCAGCAGAACCACCATGAAGGTAAGCAGCAGAATCATCACAAAGGTAAGGAGCAGAAACATCATGCAGGTAAGCAGTAGAAACACCACGAAGGTAAGCAGAAGAAACATCACGAAGCAAAGCAGCAGAAACATCACGAAGGTAAGCAGCAGAAACACCACACAAATGTTGAAGATATCATATACAATTGCAGATTATTTTAAAATTGCCTTATACAATAAGGGGCCATTAGGGGAATATATTTAAGGAAGCAGTGTTAGTTAAATACTAGAAAGGACATTTTCAGTAATTGGGTAGTTTACCATTGGAACAATCTAGCTGCAGAAGTAGTTAAAGCTGAAAGTTTAGTGGGCCAGACTAATAATATAAAGTTAACAGTGTTTCCAACCATCCTTATATATACATATTTTATAGGAATCTTTAATAACTTACCAGTCATATCCGGAGGCAAACGAAGTTTCTATTGCTGGAGCAATGATCTTGGCTGCTGTTTTGATACAGTTCTCTGCCTCATACTTCCTAAAAGCAGATAAGGAAATGAAGATAACCACTCAGCATTGTCAATCCGGTTATATTGTATATTGTACATTATATTGTAATGCAACAGAGAAGTATTGTGTTAATCAATTACCCTCATAAATATGTTAGCTATTTCTTGTGTTGATCACATAAATTCATAAGCATGAGTGTCCAAAACAAGGGATTGGATTACATGAAAGTTTTGGATGCCCAATTTGTTTGCGGATGTTTTGTGACGTACCTCTGTCGCTCTATCTGTCGTAGGGGGTCATTTTTGATCACCTCCAGTATGAGATTGTAGTGCTTGTCTTCCTGCAAACAATAAATTTGAAGCACTGGAATTAAGTAACATCAACTATCTTATTACACTGTTAAATATATCTCCAGACTTCTGTTATTAACATACTTGTAATGACAACTTTTGAAAAGTGAGAACAACTGTTACGAAAAACCCAACACACTGATTTCCATGTACCACAGAAATCTACATTAAATTACAAACAACATTATCAAAAGTATACAGTCATTAGGTTTAGATGTCCTGTTATTTAAAGTCTGCATTGGTTTGGTTTATAGAACCAACCAAACAAACCAAATAACATACTCAAACTACAAAAATAATAACACCCGAGTCAAAGCTTGATCAAGTGAGTACAATTAAACATTTCGAAAAATAGAGTATCATTTAATATTTTTAAAACACTTAACAGCAAATTATAACTAATCAAAGTTGGAAAACTACTCAGATCTAATGAGGTCATTGCTCACTTACTCCGTGTGGAAGGTATTTATCTTCCTCATCAACCTTGAGATCCACTATAAGAAGTTTGTTGAAAGCCCTTTTCATTTTCTCACGGTCCCCCAGGGCAAAATAACATAGGATCAAGTTAAAACCGGTCTTAAAGCTTGGGGCCTCCGACATGATGTGCTCAAATGATGTGATGGCATCTGTGTACTGGCCCATCTTTACAAACACAATGCCGATGTTCTGCATAATCTTGGTCCTGTGGTGATCATATATTCAGACAAATTGTGTAAATATCTACTCAATCAAATCTAGGAAAGAACAACAAATGTGTAGGACAATAGGCCTTACCGTAATATAGATATGTAAAGGTTATTGCATGGTTTTCGAGTAACAAGGGATTTATTACACCCGAGCGAAGCGAGGGTGTAATAAGTCCCGAGTGACGAGAAATCATGCAATAACTGGCTTACTGCATGCTTCCCAACTCGAACAAAACAGAAAAGTTGAGTAAAAAATGTTCACCTGGACAATCTTTTTACCTACCCTACACTGCAGATAATTTACATGTACCTATGTGAGTGAGTACTAATCATAACCAGGTAAGATTCTCAATAGCCCAGTCTGAGTGTATCCTTCATAATGGATACAAGTGTTTTTGGATTACTATCCAGGTCCAGTGTCAGGGAAGGTAAGGAGTGTCTGTTCAAAATACGGGAAACAATGTTGAATTTCTGACTACATTTTCAGTTTAATTTTCAAGATGTGGCAAAGGTACAGGATATTGAAACCATTTTCATATATACAATGTAAGGGTTTATCAATCCCTAAGGAATTCCAGTTCTTTCAATGAATGGTATATTTGAATGTGCAATTTTGTATAAAGGAACAGCTCCTTAAGATTATAAACTTTTCCGGGAAATGCTTATCCTCTCACGTGATAAGGAAATCTGTTTGTGTTTTTCAATCATGAAATTACCATTTTTAACTTTCATTTTTTCCCCTTATTTGAAATGTGTCAACTAAGTTTATCCTCTACTGTATTGACTTCATCGTTACTCACTGATTGATTATCTCCCCTTTTTTACAGCATTTGTGGCCACAGTCCACTGGGCACACCCCCTTTCATGGTCATGTAATCATGATTGGCCTTGAAAGGGGATTATGTGTGCAGTGGACTGTGGTAGCAAGTGATTTATTGCCCACACTTTTCCATTGTGAGAGGTGGGAAGTATGCAGTAAACATAGATAGACATACTCTACGTTGAATGAACGACAATTGTCAAAGGTAACGGTGATATTGAAACTATTAACATCTTAAATCCTTAAAATAGTGGTTTTCAATGTTACAATGAACATTATCATACCACAAGTTTCCTGTAGAATCATTTATTTTTGTGGGGTTGAAATTTCATGGTTTTCATATACTAGTCTGTTTCAAGGACATTATATTTCGCTGATTTCTGATTTTCCCTATCTTTATCATACCAAACTTATGTTTTCGCGGGGATTTAATTTCGTGGATTTTATTTGAATTCTGAAATGTAAAAAAATATCTCAAATAAGATTTACCACTCTCCTTCAGCCACTCAGAAACAGGAGCATACACATTAATATATTCTATCAGTATACAACTGCTTTATAGCATATATGAACACGATAACATCACATTTGAACATAAAATATTATGTATCAGAACAAGGATAAGAGGCCCTGATTGAGCGTTCCTACTGACCTCATTTCTTTGTGATGGTTTGGCACCTGGTCTAGGGCCATCCTATAGTGTTTGATAGCCTTAGGAAAGTTTCTCTGTCTGAAGTAGATGTTTCCCATGTTCACTTTTAACCGACCTGTAATGGTTAAAGTACATCATGTCTAAAAAAATCTTTATTTAATCACAAATCAATCACAACATGTTTTAAAGAGTTAATTTTCAATACAGTCAATCTAATCCTAACACATCAGAATGTCCATAAAAGTTTTCTGATTTTCAGAAGAATCAATTAGCATAACTGTGTTGGTGATCAATCTGTAAATATTTACTCCATACTTCAAGTTTATTTTTTCATGCATTTTTACCAATGGGAAGAATTTTTATTTAAAACAAGCAAATTCGTGGAATGTATATCCCTCGCTTGCAGGACATATCATAGGTTAACATTATTGAGGTTAGGTTTAAACATGTGAGTATCGTGCTGTTGAGACATAATGTAAAGCTTGAAACTTGAAGAAAAAAAAAGCCCTATACCTAATTGATTATCCGTAAATATGCACAGTTGGAAAACTTAGAATGAGACAGATGCGCATACAGAATTTGGTTGAAACATCTAAACAATATCTACAGCAATTATCACACGAAAACCAAAGAGTGCCCGAGATAGGTGTAAAGACAGAGGTAAGTTATTACCAGTAAGCAGAAACTGCAGATAATGATGTTTTTCATTATTCAAGGGGCCATAACTCTGCCAAATAGGGTCCCCTGAAAGTGGTCATCAAACTTGGACGAGCCCTTAAGGCATTTAACACTGTGACCAAGTTTGAAGAAAATCTGTTAACATTTGTTGTAGTTATTGCACGGAAACGAAGCGCGGCAGATAATGACATTTTTCATTATTCAAGGGGCCATAACACTGCCAAATGGTGTCTGCTGAAAGTGGTCTTCGAACTTGGCGGAGCCATTAAGGCATTTAACCCTGTGACCAAGTTTGAAGAAAATCGGTTGACATTTGTTGTAGTTATTGCACGGAAATGACGCTTGGCAGATATTGACATTTTTCATTATTCAAGGGGCCATAACACTGCCAAATGGTGTCTGCTGAAAGTGGTCTTCGAACTTGGCGGAGCCCTTAAGGCATTTAACCCTGTGACCAAGTTTGCAGAAAATCCGTTAACATTTGTTGCAGTTATTGCATGGAAACGAAACGTGACAGACAGACAGACCCAAATTAATATCCCCCGTTTTGGTGAAAGCGGGGGATAATAATCTGTAAATATAATATATGGATTACAATAGAAATATCTAATTTGATAAATGTATTAGATTACCACACCATCAGTAACAGAACTTATCTATCTTAGATACCACACCATCAGTAACAGAACTTATCTATCTTAGATACCACACCATCAGTAACAGAACTTATCTATCTTAGATACCACACCATCAGTAACAGAACTTATCTATCTTAGATACCACACCATCAGTAACAGAACTTATCTATCTTAGATACCACACCATCAGTAACAGAACTTATCTATCTTAGATACCACACCATCAGTAACAGAACTTATCTATCTTAGATACCACACCATCAGTAACAGAACTTATCTATCTTAGATACCACACCATCAGTAACAGAACTCATCTATCTTTAACAGGATATCTGTCCGTACATTACCCTAGTTTTCAGTGTAACATACCAGCATTGCTAAACATTTTGTTTTTCACGATGACCTGGTAGGTGTTGAGGGCCTCGTTAAACATCTCATTAGCAGCGTACTGGTTGGCTAGGTTAAACAGAACCTGTAGACAGACAAACATCAGTTAAACAGAACCTGTAGACAGACAAACATCAGTTAAACAGAACCTGTGGACAGACAAACATCAGTTAAACAGAACCTGTAGACAGACAAACATCATTCTTATTAATCAGTTAAACAGAACCTGTAGACAGACAAACATCATTCTTATTAATCAGTTAAACAGAACCTGTAGACAGACAAACATCATTCTTATTAATCAGTTAAACAGAACCTGTAGACAGACAAACATCATTCTTATTAATCAGTTAAACAGAACCTGTAGACAGACAAACATCATTCTTATTAATCAGTTAAACAGAACCTGTAGACAGACAAACATCATTCTTATTAATCAGTTAAACAGAACCTGTAGACAGACAAACATCATTCTTATTAATCAGTTAAACAGAACCTGTAGACAGACAAACATCATTCTTATTAATCAGTTAAACAGAACCTGTAGACAGGCAAACATCATTCTTATTAATCAGTTAAACAGAACCTGTAGACAAACATCATTCTTATTAATCAGTTAAACAGAACCTGTGGACAGACAAACATCATTCTTATTAATAAGTTTAACACTACAGTAAACTATCAAGGAAAACAAATAAAAAATACTTCCAATGTACTCAACACAACATAAACCTTATTACATTTTATATCACAACCATGAAATATACTTTCTGATAAAGTAGCAGTTAAAACAACCTTGCAGTTTTCAATTTTAGAATTGTCTTAATAAAATTGATTCAACATGTAATCATATAATGGACGCTAACACTTAATCATTCTCTGATGTACCAGTAATTGATTTGTCATGAAATATTAGTGGAAGCAATTAAATTCCATTTTTTAAGATTGAACAGAGAAAGAAGATCAAGAAAAATAATTCAAACTAGAAAATGTCTGTATGTTATTACCATGCTGAAACACAAGGATGTCAGAGGTAAACCCATACTTGACCTTTATATAAAGTTTGACCAAAATCCGTGAAAGAATGAAGTTGCTAAGTGTTTAAATTGAATCAGTTGATGATTTTCTATATATAGCAAGTGACCTTGGCCTTGACCTTGGAACCCTGAAACACAAGGATGTCAGAGGTATACCCATATTTGACCTTTGTTTAAAGTTTGACCAAAATCAATGAAGGAATGAAGTTGCCAAGTGTTAACATTGAATCGGGATGCGACGGACATGGGCAACACTATATGCCCCTCCATTTTATGGCGGGGGCATAATAAAAAGGAACAGCCGTTTTTGTTTGATTATGAGATTAACAAATTTGAAAACTCCTTTTGCTGTTTCATATGACAAAGAAAGAACAAGGGCAGATCAGTCCTAATGCATGAGAGCTAAATCACAGGGTCAGCATACCTAGCATTCCTCAATGTTACTAACTTACCGAGTAGGTTAGGTCCAGATTGATCTGATCCCCCATGGACTGCTGTTCACGCTGTCGGACCAGGACTCGCTCTTTCCTTCCTGCTTCCTTAGCCTTCTCCAAACCCTGCACAAGAAAAAGCAGTTTAATTCAAGTCTCGTCATGATAAACATATCCACATTTAATTATTTCAACAGTATGCTGATATTTCATTGCAATGGTCATTTTAAATATGTCCTACTGGATATCAAATGATTTATGTGCAAGTCCTTGCCTCGTCTTCCTTGTTTATAAAATACTGCATAATAATAATATTTCTTTAAGACTCCAGGAAACTTCCTAACGTTGGCCAGGATTAACTAATTATAAGAAAACCTCCATTTTCAAAGCTATTGGTAAGTAACACAGAAGAAAACTCAAATGTTAAAATCACAGAAATATACAATTTTAAACCAGAACTTCAACTCGGTTCTTGATAGGTAACTACAGCATATTGTTGATAAAGAGAACTTGGTTTTATGGGTTGACATTCAAATCAGCTTCCCACTACTGGCATTTATTTTATTTCAGGCTTATTGTGGGAAGATAAAATATTGACAACTGCTCAATAATTACAATGCTACATATCACAAGACCACTTACATAGGTAATTAGGTACTACACAAAACTTGCAACAATTGCTTGCCTGGCCACTTGCCATAGTAAGTTCTCCTCAATTGTAAGTCTGACGGTGAAATGACCAGAACAAACTCAATTGTTTGTCTGATCACATCCTAGACCAATACTTAGCTCCTGACTGAATTCTCCTCGATTGTTGATTACCTGACCACTTTATACTGAACTCTTTACTGCCGGACTACTTACCAGACTGAATTCTCCTCGACTGTTCGGCCGGACTACTTACCAGACTGAATTCTCCTTGACTGTTGTTTACCATACCACTTTACACTGAACTCTTTACTGCCAGACTACTTACCAGACTGAATTCTCCTCGACTGTTGTTTACCTGACCACTTTACACTGAACTCTTTACTGCCAAACTACCAACCAGACTGAATTCTCCTCGACTGTTGTTTACCTGACCACTTCACACTGAACTCTTTACTGCCAGACTACCTACCCGACTGAATTCTCCTCGACTGTTGTTTACCCGACCACTTTACACTGAACTCTTTACTGACAGACTACCTACCCGACTGAATTCTCCTCGACTGTTGTTTACCTGACCACTTTACACTGAACTCTTTACTGACAGACTACCTACCCGACTGAATTCTCCTCGACTGTTGTTTACCCGACCACTTTACACTGAACTCTTTACTG